TCATCATCATCATTTCAGCCATAGGCCGTCCACTGCTGAACAAGGCCTCCCTTAATGATTTCCACAATGGCCGGTTGGTGGCGGCCTGCATCCAGCGCCTTCCTGCTACCTTTATGAGGTCATCGGTCACAAAGGACGAATTAAATTATGATGATTTGGATGCCTTTTTACTGTGCCTAACACGAGGTTACAAAAAAATATAGGTAGAGAGAGGTACTAACACTAACATAGAAAACGCAGCGTGAGACGGTCCGCCCACAAGGTGGACCGACGACCTCATAAAGGTAGCAGGAAGGCGCTGGATGCAAGCTGCTACCTACGGGGCGATGTGGAAATCATTGTGTGAGGTCTATGTTCAGCAGGGAACGTCCTGTGGCTGAAATGATGATGATGATGACTAACACAAGCAGTAAGAGCAGCTTCAAACTTTCTCACTCTATCTAAACAACCCTATTCAACAAATGAATGAAAGTTTTGCTGCCAGCAGAAGCGCAGCTTAAACCAATAAAAAGTTTGACCACTTTCTATGCCGGGGGGGCCAAACTACTTCAAGAACTTGAGGTCAGGCTGCAGTAGTGTAAATATAAACAGTTGGCCAGCTGCACATGAAGTAACGCCGTAAGAAACATAATAGCCAATCTGATAGTAACTTATCATACTTTAAACAGACGACACTAACATTGCATTATGGTGGCTAGATAGCGGACTATTAAACATAATGACTGATCTATGACTTGAGAGCAACGTGCAATTATAAGATCTTGTAAATGCCTGTTTTAATGATAACTCTAGCTTAGTAGACATAGTTAATTACTAGATGGAATCTTCCGATCCCTTTTTCAACTGACACTATAGATCGTTTCATCCACAAAGACGCGCCCCACCAAATTTTGGACGAGGGAAGCGCAGGGTGCGGGGAGTTTGATCCGAGCGTCACGTGTGCACTCATGGATAATTTAGCGTGTACCGATAACACTCAAACATTAGCGGAAGAATGGTGGGGAGCGTCTTCGTGGATGAAACGATCTTATATCTGTTGTGTTGTGCGTTATGAACGAGAGCACATCAAGGTATTGTTCTCTTAAGTAGTATATCTATCTGATTCAATTCATTGCCAGACAACAAGACAACCAGACATCCCCGGGGATGAAAATGTCAATCTTGGCTTTACAGGAGCTAGCAGCTACTTAATAGCGATGGGAATAAGAGGGAAATTACTCTTAGTCCCATAAGTATACCTAAAGAAGCGACCATAGGGTACCCCAGAATGGGTGAATCAAGCTGTTATTAGTTTAGCTTGACCGGTCCTTATGGAAATCCTTGGAAGAAGACCTACGGCAGTGAAATTAATTAACGGTCAAGCTACCTCCCATAGCCATAGCAGTTTGTTTCCCATTCTGGAACACCTGATCGAGTTCGTTTCAGCCAAATGACGTCCACTGACAAAGGCCCAAGGATTGCCATAACTACCGGTCCTGCGTGATTGAATCAGAAATGAGGATATTCGCAGGAGAACCAAAGTGACCGACATAGCTCGCAGAATTGCAAAAATCAAGTGGCAGTGGGCGGGCACATAGCTCGTTGATGGTTTGGGGCAGAAAAGTTTTCGAGTGGCGACCGCAGGCCGGAAGACGTAGCGTGGGCAGGCCTCCCACTAGGTGGACCGACGATCTGGTGAAGGTCACGGGAAGAGCCTGGACTTATACGAGTATAGTAGGTACCTAATAAAAAAATATAACCCCACCTTTTCGCACAGGTTTTCGACTACGACTGGGGCCTCCAAGACGACTTCATGGGCTCTTGTACCTTGGACCTGACAGCGCTGGAGCTCGGCAGGCCCCAGGACCTGGTGCTGTGTCTCCGGGACCCGAACAAGCCTAGCCAGGACATGGGCGAGGTGGTGCTGAATGTGACGCTGTGGCCGAAGACACAGGAGGATAAGGAACAGGTATGGTTCTATCTGCTTAATCTTTAGAACTATTATATTAGGATGACGTGCCCGAGTGCCCGAGCAACTGCACGCAAGAGGATTTAATGAATGCTGCCAACAACGCCACTCTTGTAGCGGAGTTTTGGGCTGACACTGTGTAGGTTTGTTATCGACACGATAAGAAGATATTAGGACCTGTTGATGTGTTTAATTGTCTATGGAACCAAACCTAGAAAAAACATTAGGATATTGGCAGTATAATCCTCATTGTGATTCTGATCATAGCTTTATATTATCATAATGAAGACTCAGGAGGATAATATTATAAACAGGTAAGCATAAATACAGCAGGTATGCAAGAAAATTTAGTAGGTATAATATTATTATAATTATTAACTGTAACCTTAAAATTATGACTGTGTGTTGAAATAAATGACTTATTATTATTATTATTTTTGTACGCTTTGGAGCTCACGGGTCAAAAGTGGCCCGGTCCTTTATAAGGCTTACGTGGGGATACAGATCCAACACGTAGAGGCCGTTTTAAGCGCAAAATAATCGACAAAAGTGAAAGTGGTGCACATGCTGGATCTAGTCTCTGACTATATCATGGGATGTAGCCAGATTCCATCCCCAGCCTGTGCACAGGAGCTATTGCAGTTATTGGAGAATGGACTAGGGCTATGGATGAAGGATGGAGGGACTTGTTACTGGCCTATGGATGGAGACTACGGGACACCTGCCTGGTTCATAGTCTCTGACTGAAAAAATGGCAGGCGGTGACTAGCCAGCGACTAAATGGGCCCCCCCTGGCGTCATGGGTCGTATAGACCGGACTGAGGGGCAACATTGGCGTCTGCCAGCTCAGGGGTGTAGAGAGGTGTGCTGCGCTTTCTCCGGAGTTACTCGCGGCGTTATGCCCTTTAACACTTCCACCCCTGCAGCATATAGCTCTAGCGACTCCACTCTGGCCGGCCGGTTAAGGCAAGCCAGAGGTGAAAGTCCTGCAGACCCTCTCGGATTCCACTTCGGCAAGCCGAAGACGAGGGTCTTGACCGACTCTCGGGAGCACTCGGATTAACAACTGGCCCCGTGGTGTCGCTACTCACCAACAGCTCGCCACAAAGCTGCCCTGCGGGGCTATTATTATTATTATTATAAGCCATGGATCTGGCTATGTGTTGTTTTTACCGAGTTTTTAGTGGTCGTACAAGAAAATGGAAGAGAGTCCTTGATAATGTGGGTCTATGCAGCCTGGAATCTGGATTTACTAACTTTCTGTGGATGTATCTAAGAAATAATATTAAGCTTGAGTTTTTGTTTTTTATGTAAGACAATGTACCTACTAAAATCAGCTCCCTGAATAGTATAAAAATAAAAGCAAATCTTACATCATAGACAATAAAAATCATTCAATCATAATTTGGCGATTCGCTCCGCAATATCGATCGATTGAACTTTGTACCAGAGTTGTGTGTCATTGTTTGGGATCTAAAAGAGAACCTAAAATAGCTGTTATCTAAACACACAGGCCAAATGCAGCTTTAATGGATTAAACATAAAGTTGATGTTCCAATGATGTGCAATAAACAAATGTATGGCTCATGTAGTCAGTGATTTTATCTTCGCGGATAGTGACGTAGTGGCCTTGTGATGAAATGGTGAAGCGTGAATCAACGGCCGAATTATAGGGTTCCGTTTATAAATTGATTTAATAAAATTGTAGGGTAGATATAGATAGAACACACTTTTTTATAAACCATACAAGACAAGAAAAGAAAAAGAAAGAAATATAAAAAATAAAGGGCACAATTTACGGTATTAAAATTTTTTTTAAGCAAGTTAAGGAAAAAAAGAAATATTAGAAGAAAAAAAAACAAAAAAGAATAAAGAATGAAGTTTAACGTGACAGACAAAATAAAACGGTTTACTTCTTTTAATTACACTGCTTTTCCTCACTGTTTAATAGTTGTTTACGAATAAATTAATCCTGGGTTGCACCAATTATCTTCAGAAATGGCAACTGACTTGACAAACAGACAATAATATGTGATAATGTACCATGTTGGCTAAAAATAACCATTGTGTTGGAACCTTGAAGTTAATATATTGTTTTAAATTCATACATTATTTTTTTCTTACAAATGACAATAATGACGGAAAGTTAAATAATAATAATATGAAAGACGCTGAGTTGCATTTTGTGGTTGCATCACCTTAACTTTAACCGAAACTTTACAGTTAAGTTATTATTAACAGGCGTTTTCGTATAGTTTGACAGACTTTTGACGTGTTTTATAGTTATTAATGTATATTAATGTATCTTGTTTTATAGTTATTAATGTATATTAATGTATCTTACATTAATAACTATAAAACACGTCAAAAGTCTGTCAAACTATACGAAAACGCCTGTTAATAATAACTTAACTGTAAAGTTTCGGTTAAAGTTAAGGTGATGCAACCACAAAATGCAACTCAGCGTCTTTCATATTATTATTATTTAACTTTCCGTCATTATTGTCATTTGTAAGAAAAAAATAATGTATGAATTTAAAACAATATATTAACTTCAAGGTTCCAACACAATGGTTATTTTTAGCCAACATGGTACATTATCACATATTATTGTCTGTTTGTCAAGTCAGTTGCCATTTCTGAAGATAATTGAAGGGTCAAGGGCGCTTGATGTAGATGCTACCTACCTACTTATGTATGTCTTAAAAACTTGCTTTGATTAAAATATGTATAACTTTATCTAACCTGGCAGCTTAGGGGCCGTCCATATATTACGTCAATCTAAATTAGGGGGGGGGGGATTGTAGGGGGGGGGGGGTCTAAAATCTGAAAAAATCGATGACGTAATTTATGGACGGCCCCTTAGACCAATTTAGGAAAATACGAAAATAAGTAAATTATTCCCATCAAACCCCAAGCGGTTGCAGGTGCTATTCGATACAGAACCCACAAATTGACCAATAAAACACAAGTTTTTGCAACAAAAAATGCAACTGGCCGGTTACCGGTTAACGTCACCAGTGCGCGTCGTTTGTAACCAAACCACCAACCTCATTCTCAGTAACAAAACACTACGCGGACCGAACGCGCGCGTTCCATTTTCAAAATAAACAAATGAGTGTCGATTGATAAAACGCACGTTGTGGCCGTGAAAAGTCGAATGTTTTGTTTGAATTTTGTTTTTTGAAACAGTTAACGGCTTTTCGCGGGAATCTGTGTCCGCGTTGTTGTAACAGGCTGATTTTTAGTTTTTTTTTTTGTTGAACGCGGTTTTTACGATAACCCTGTTTTCGGTGCGCTAAAATGAGGTGTTATCTTCGTGATGTGCTTGTGTTTCAAAACTGATGGTAGTGTTTACTCTTGAATTTGTGGTTTATTTAGCTCTTCTTTGGAAGTAAATAACATTGGATTGATATTCCATCTATTACCAATATGTATTCCAAGATTAACGGTTTTATTTCCAAACATTATTGAGATGTTCTTCACTTCAAACTACTTCAAACATACACACATAACACCGGTCTGTTTGGAAATTTCAGTCTAAGCAATTTGTGGAAAAGCAAATAAACTGCTAAAATTGTACTTACTCATTTTGTTAAACTGTCGCCTTTTAAGGGTTAAGATGTGTTTATAACAGGTACTGCTAGACTCAAAAGGTGTTAACCTAGAATATTCATAAATGGTTTGTCTGACGTTACTTGTACGAGTATGTACCTACTAAGAATTAACTAAAGTAGGTAATTACCTACGTCACTTATCTGTGCTGTGTACTTTATGTGGTCATTATAAAGTCAATAAGAATGAGGTCAACCTGAAAATGATTAAGATTTACAAATGGGTTAATTAAAATATACTACACCTACCTACTAAGTGTTTTGACGTTTCATCATTATCATCATCATCATTTCAGCTTGCATAGGACGTCTGGTGAACATAGGGACATACGCCTCTCTCAATGATTTCCAAGCGGCCTGCATCCAGCAACTTCCTGCTACCTTTATGATGTCGTCTGTCCACCTAGAATGACATTTTGTGACATGATAATGAATATTACACAAAAACGGCTTACAACGCGTTGTGGACTCTGTAAAATGACCAAATTGCGAAATTCATGTTGTGGTGTTGAAAACGCTCACGATGTTGCAGCGTTGTGGCAATCACTAAACGATGAAAGATCACATAAACTAGCATGGGCGTTTGGGCGTATCCAGCTTCTGGCCTAGGGCCTTCCAGGGAAATGTTTATTGGGCAATAGCACAAAATAGGTTGGTAGAATGTCTCAAGAGGAAAGTTCATAAGAAGCCGAAGCCGGAGCAGGTAGCTAGTGAAATATAAAAGAGAGATTATGTCAGACATAGCACCAATTTCAGAAGAACGACTGACAAACTCAAAATTATAAGACGGGAACTAAAATGGAGTATAGTAGGTACCTAATTAAATTCTCATTTATTCTCCTTGGAAAGCCAATTTATTCCAGTAAATAAAAACTTAATGAACGCTTCAGACGTTTGATGAATTTAAACGCTTTTAAATAAGTGGCTCTTCATTTAAATATAGGAATAACTTCGCGAAGAGGAACGTTTAAATCAGTGGTTCTTAACCTTTAAAAGTCATGAGGGACCATTTTACCAAATTTCTGTCTTGTCAGGGACCACCTCTTAGTCATAATCAGTCAAAAGTAAACCAGTTTGACTGCAAAAATCAGTTAAAAGTGTTTTGACCAAGGTGTGCAAGTGCACTTCATGGACCACTTGGAATGCCTCCAGGAGGGACCACCGGTTAAGAACCACTGGTTTAAATCCTTAATCCTTAATAACATTAAATTTATATCAATCCAGCATTACTGTTGAAAATACAAGGCAATACAAGTAAGCCTGTGTTATTGAATTATAAAAAAATATTATAGTAGGCTCTTTTTAGATAGTCCTATAACATAATAATATTCAATGTATGTATAGCACAGTAGTAAGAACAATACTCTTAGCTAAATAACTATACTTAGGTAGAGTTGCTTTTGCTAAGTTAGGTTACAATAAAACAAAATTAATTATTTCAATAATGCGCGCATGCAGTGCATCGCCAATTTTAATGATTCTTCATTCCATTCAGAGTTTATAATGTTATTGTGTTTAAATCAGCTGTTGTTGGCCGATTCCCTATACGCCCATCTGCTTTGAATAATTACTAATCAACAGACCTATTAAACACTATTCAGATGTCTAATGGACATCATCATCATCCACTAAGCATAGGACGTCCACTGCTGAACATAGGCCTCCTCCAACGTGTTGCCCGGTTGGTAGCGGCCTGCGTCCAGCGCCTTCCTGCTACCTTTATGATGTCGTCAGTCCACCTTGTGGGTGAACTAATGGACATATCTGTTACAAAATTAGAAACAAATAATTGAAGTCTCTTAATTTCTTACCAAAAGCAAAATTATCAATATCATACTATAAATATAATATTATCTGTGGCTAAGTTCTTCACTCTTCACTAGGTGAAGGCAAAAGTGAAAAACATAACCCTCCTTCTGGCGCAGTCGGGTAAAAAAGTTACCAAGTCCCAACTCCATACAAAATGTCTTCGAAAATTCAGCTATGATGACGTCCTGCACCCCTTTTGCTATTGCTACACACTAAAAACTATTTTTCAGTAAGTACCAGTAGTGGCTAACTGTTTTCTAATTTCTATGTGTATATTGTTTTCTCTACATCCACTTTAACTCTCTTTATTGTTTGTATCCTTCGTTACATACAATGATGTCATCTTCCATCTACACGACAGTTAAGGTGTACAAAGGTCATCTAGCGCTGGTAAACAGATTAAAATTAATAAAGCAAAGTCACTTGAATAAAAATATTGAAACAGTAGGTCATCTGCGCCCCGATTGCGCTAAATATTTTCAACTGCAACGCGACTGGACGACGAATGAAAATCAGCTGTTTGCACAAATTCGTACCGCGGTGTCGCTTTGACAGCTAGTTCAAACAATACTGTAACCTGTAATGTAAACAGAACGCAACTGCGTCTTTGTGTAAAAGCTGATAGAAAGCTACTTTTTTTCTCAAAAGCAAGTCAAACGCTTTAAGAACATTTGCTGTGTTTTAGTGAAAAAACAAGTTGTTCGGACTTTTAATGGAAAGTGCATAAATCCGTTGTTTGCGCTAGTTTACGCGATTATCGCGATACCGAATTGCACATCGGCTGGAATGAAAATGGAGCGATAAGGAATTGGAGACATTACAAATTAGCGCAATCGGGGCCCTGTATTCACTGGTATTCATTCACACTGCTACGAAGCATGTTACCTCTAATCATGGTCATGGTCATCGTCATTTCAGCCATAGGACGTCACGTGTCACAGTGTTCATAAGTTCATAACTAAACTCCTCCAAAACTGCTTGACCGACTATGAAATTCAGTAGGTCTGAGAATAATGCAATAAAAAAGCAATCCAAGACTAAACTTCCTAAACACTTCAAAAAAAGCGAAAGGTCACTGATTGATTGACTGACTCACTCACTCATCAAGAGATCTCAGAAACGACAAGTGCTAGAAGTCTGAAATTTTGAATGGGGGTTACCTTTTAGAACGTAGCGTAGGTGCTCACTAAGAACGGGTTTTATGAAACCCTACCCTTATGGGGGTAAACGGGATCCACGCGTACGAAATTGCGGGCGACCGCTTGTTGGCTATAAAATTCAACTAGCAGCAGCTGCTTTTTGAAATTATTAACATTTAATTGGGTTCTTTAGCATGATGTCGTCATGTTCTCTTTAACAAGTTATTTTATTTAACCTTTGAGCAACATTTCACATTTTCTCTATTACATTAATAGAAATGTTTTGCTCCAAAAAGACACAGTAACATTTCAAGTAACAAATGCAGTAATTAAAACGATACGTGCAGAGAATGGACTCCGTGAAATTTATGATTTTGAAACTATTGAAGTACCTATCTAAATTGTTTAAAATAAAATTGCGATGTTATAGGATTTACGACTCTAACATTGATCATGTACCTCATTTATGATCAATGTTATTAAGAACTGAAATCATTAAAAGAATGTTAAAAAACTTCATTTATTTTCTATTTTTATTTTTTGTTGAATTCTTAGGTGCCGTCTCTTGTCGCGATCTTTTAAGGATTATTGAAAAAGTCTAATGTCCGTTTTCACCATCAATCCCTTATTTTTAAATGACCCCTATGGTAACACATAACAGGAAAATTAGGGATTGATGGTGAAAACGGGCATAATTGAGGTACATTATTTATTATACCATGGCTTCAGCATCAGCTCCCGAAAAGAGCATTAGAAAAGAAATTATCTACATACTTGAATTCGTTCGTTAAATCCCCCAGCAATTTAAAAAATAGTTCCATGTATTTTACACCTATCATTAGCACTAGCACACCGTTAATTAGTAATCTACCACCACATGCAAGGTCACTTCATTATAGTCATTTGACGATAATCATCACAGCAATTACTACTAATAATACCATAATAAAAAGGTACCATTTTGCTTGCCGTTTTGTCAGTGTCTTCAGTATTCTTCTCAGGGTTGACCTACATTAGTTTGAAGTTAGGGCGAAGTTAGATTGGAAGTTGGGGACGTGTAAGTGGTATAACGCGTTATTATACTATTGGGATCGATTGTGAGGCATCTAAATGGTTACCAAACAGGTCCTGTATATCCGGCTCGAAGGACCTTGTGACCTCGAAAATTAGATAGAAATCGCCTACCTGGCTAATGTGTTAGGATCGATTGAGAGGCATCTAAATGGTTACCATATAGGTGGCCTAATATCCGGCTCGAAGGACCATGTTAAATGCTATGAGACTGCAGTTGTAAAAATAGTAAAATTAACATGCAATAGGTAGGTAATAGCTCCATTTTTAACTCGAATAAATATTGGAATTAATCATTTCAAAATTCAAGATAGAGTATTTTGCGCAGAATTGAGATTAATCTCGAAATTGTGAAGGGTTCAATATTAACCAAACAGAGCCACCATCTGTGCTTGAAACGGAATCGAGTTTGTTTTTGTTCATCATGTAAAACAAACAATAAACACAGACTTTAACTTTGACTTTAAACTTTCTCTAGCATAACCGTGTCAAGAAATTAACTAAAATCCTCGAAACAAGTCACCATTTGAAACTTCCCTAATTTTGAATCTGTCTTGATTCTGGCCTGAATGTTTGCACTTTAGACGAGTTTCAGCCAAGTTTAGGTCTGAAACAATTTCCGTTATAGAAGCGTTGTTCCTCCTCCTCTCCTCCTATGTTCTTCTGATTAATTTCGTTGCGGGTCCAATGACAGTTTAACTTTCCCCCGGGACAAACTTGACCTTCATTGGTTGGGGTTTTTATGACGGTCAAGCTGTAGATCCTGGCTACACAGAAGTTGCAGTAGTGGGAACGAGTGGGAATAGTTCCGTAAAGCTGTAAAGTAATCTAGTGTTAATAAATCTAAAGGCCTAAAGGTCTAGCGCCTAACTCTGAGATATGGAAGTGGCACGGGACGTGACATTTACATAATGACGTGAATCTGAAGTAACCTGAAGTCTTGCTGATGTTTGACGTTACAAAAACAGCCTCTATAAAGGAGAAATATTAGTAACTTTGTCCGAATTAAAAAAAACTCTTGCAGCATTCATTCTTGAATAAAATAAATAGGCTATCGCAGACTGAAATTTACACCAAGGCCGTAGACAAAATCTATTAGGTATTGAATCATTATTATTTGCCTACTCGTATAATTTTTCCTCATTCTAATTTTAGGATACAATTACCTCAGTGATTACACCCATTTCATAACACTAAAGTTTATTTCTTGTTATCCTGTTAATTTACCAAATCAATACTGTATAATATTATCCAAGAACTGTTAACATTATAATTCTCTGGAAACGAAGTTAAAAGCTGTTTTAATTCCTGCTAAGCCTGCACAATCCAGATTTATCTCCGAAAACTGCGAACTGGTTCATAAGGGTGTGTCTCTGAACACAGCGGTTTTATATTCTAACTAGTGACCTGGTTTCGCACGAGTGCTAAATATACTTATAAAACATCCTCTTGATCACTCTATCTATTAAAAAAAAACCGTATCAAAATCCATTGCATAGTTTTAAAGATCTAAGCATGCATAGGGACAGACAGCGGAAATCGACTTTGTTTTATACTATGTAGCTTTAAAAAAACATTATCACCAGTGAGAACTGATTTTGAGTAAAAGGCTGTAATATCTGTGGATGACTTCATTAGTGGATTACCCATGTTTTAAATCCCTTGATAGAAGAGTCACAGCTTTACAAAATGCTTCCATTTTTCTTCCAAACGTTCATGCAATATAAGATTTATGAGGATTTTAAAGCCAAAATATTAATACAATAAAAGTTTCATTCGTTGACAGACCAACAGTCGACAATCTTGTGGTCATATTCAACAAAATACGTACTATACCTATTTCCTACACTAATTAACATTAGTAATGTCAGTTTAGCGGATTCAAAGAATTTCAATTTAATTCAGTACGATATTGATACTTTTACACCACACACTGTTCAACAAAACTTTATTTACTATTATCACTAACTCGCGTACATTAATTTAATGCTATTTCAAACAAACTGCTCACTAGGAAAATCGATGTACAACAAAAACATGGTTTAGGATCGATTTGTGACTAAAATATCTCAGTATCAGCTCAACTATCAATGTGGACGGACGTGCTCTGAGAAAGAAGCGAGAGAGAAAAATAAACAGTGAAAATGGATAAGGACAACAAAATGGAAAGGTTGAAAAACCGCCTAATTAGGATACAAGGGAAGATCCAAGACAGAATGGAAGATTTTCAAGACCAAGTCCAAAACAAATACGAGAAGTCAAAGATATCGAAATTCATATCTCACATATCAGAAGACCGGAGTTCTATTGAAGGAGACTCGAATGAAGATAAAACCACAGATGGTGATAATATCTCCACAGAATCCGGTAAAATAGCAGTAAGTGATAGTAGAAGAACCAGCATTATTCCCTCTGTGGTGGTTGATGAGCCAGCAGATAGCGATAAGCAGATTTGTGAGGACTTTATAAGTGTAGAAAGAGATGGAGTTTTGTACAAAAGAAGGAGCTTGTCTACTTCGGACCTAGCATTTGATGACAACAGTGATAGCACGAGTGAATCCTGTGTGTCTTGTTTGTCTTCTAGCGATGAGAGGTAAAATCGAATTGTTTTTCTATAAATTTCTTTATTTACGAGTCTAAATCAAAATATCAGGACATTTTTGGATTCAATTAAGTCTGTCGTGTAAGTTTTTTCCTTTTCTCACTGTCTACTAGCCAATTTAAAACCTGAACCGGTTTTTCAAAAGTTTAAGGACGATTGTTGCTTGAATGATTTAAACTGTGCTACTTAACTGCACGTTTAAAAGCGTAACCTTTTAAAACATAAAACAGCATTATCTAATTAATGTTTTCAACTCAATCGACCATTTTTATTTTATCAATTTTGTCCACAACTTTCAACTTACACTAGAAATATTAGAAGGTAGATAGGTGGTTATTATTTTCTATCTATCTATCAAAATTCAAAATGATAATGCAGATAAATTAAAAGCCATAACATCCTCTTTGTAGACAAGCTGTAAAAAAACAACAATTAGTTTAGTTTTATTCATTCACCACTTTATTTCCCCTCATTTTAGAGCGATAGAACCTCGTCCCAGAGCTGGAAGTCTACCTCCAGGAGCGAATCTGGAGCTTCCATCAGCGTTTTCCACGTACACCGACATCATTGAGAGAATCGGCCACAGGTTCCCTAACTTGAAGAGCAAGAGCGACAGATTTCATAGGGTAGGCCATGGCTTTGGGGTGATTTGGTTAACTAACAACTAACGATTTTAAGTGTTATTTTGAAGTTTAATGTATCTAATAAGCTTTGGTGATCACTAACAGTATTATTAATTACTGGTGGCTACAGACAATAGCAATCTTAAAGAAAAAAAGCAAAATAAAGAATCCGAGAAGTCTTGACGTACTTATGGTAAGCATACTGAAAACCATAGATTATAGTAGGTACCTACTAACTAGCTCGCCACATTATAATGTTGTTTAATGTAAAATGTTGTTAAATAAAAGTTTTATCATTGGCCGTTAATAATGTACCAAGTTAGTGTTGAATACAGGTACATCGATTTGCCATTAAGGTGGAGGCTAACATCACACTATCATTATCTATTGTACCTACAAACAGGACCCCATTTAGTTCCACTATGTTTACTTAGTTAGGTTTAGGTAATAAATGAGTCATTTAAATGATAAAATGAACTCGTTACAAAGAATAAAGTCTGAATTTGAAATTGTTCTTTCAACAAAAATGTGTTAGAAATTTGAAAAGTGGCAAAGAAAGGGCGTAAAAAAAAACGAATATTAATTAAAACATTAAAATATTTAGTTTAGGGCGGGTATTGTACATAATACCTATGTGTAAGGTATGTGTATAAATAAGTGAAACTCCTGTAAACACCAAACTTTAAATGGAACAATCAAATGTGTTTGGCTTCCAGCCAAAAATCGCAAAATGCCTACAGCGCGGGATTGTTTCATAAAGTTTTTATGTTGTAATGTTTTTTGTATCGCGCGAATTCGTGTCAATGCTTTTTAACCGACTTCAAAAAAGAAGGAGGTTATATTTTCAGCTGTTTGTATTTTTTAATAGAAGTAAATGTAATCAAACGTAAGTTGACCTTTGAATTCCAAACGATAACTTTATTTTTCTAAATGAGTTGTAAGTTAACAAAATGTTACTTTTGTCGCTAGCCAGCACCAGCACACTACACGTTTAAGCCGGAATCAAATTCAGGTCGCTTCAATTGAGAAACCATTTTTGTTGATTATTCTATTGTTGTTGGATACTAATGTAGCAAGCGTTATCTACAAGGGATAAAAAAATAACACCATTATTTTGTTCCTCAAGGAATGATCAGAAAGTGGTAAGTTAACTAATAAGTGATGACGTGATTGTTTTGTATGGAATTCTTACAATGTCTACACACTGTGATCGTAAAATTAATCAGATCCTAAATCGGTAACTAAAGCTGAAAAGAACGAGTCCAGATAGTCGGATAACTGGATAATCACGTTTCTACTTTAAATTTTGTCACTTGCCATCCGCTTTGCACCGGAGGGGAGCCGAACTTCGAACTCCCATGTTCTTCTGATTAATTTTGTTGCGGGTCCAATGACAGTTTAACTTTTCCCCGGACCAACTTGACCTTTGGGTTGTATTTTTATTGGAGGTCAAGCTGTAGATCCTGGTTATACAGGAGTGGGAACGAGAGGTGGGAATAGTTTTGTACCTGATAAATAAAATTTTTCATTCTCGTTTCCAGTACCTACTCAAGAACACGCGGCTGAGTGACGTGAACAAACGGCTGAAGGCTCAGATCTGGAGCTCCGTCGTCACCATCGTGCTGGTGGAAGCGAAGAACCTGCCTGCTATGGACATCGACACTAGATCCAGCGACCCTTACTGCAAGTTCAGGTGAGTGAGCCAATCTAGACTTTACGGTTTTGTAATATAGGTATTACCTACTAACAGATTACGCTGAAAGGCACGCAGATACTTTTTCAGATTTGTGGTCCAAAGGTTACAAACAAAAGAAGTAATTAGATCCACACAGGTGAAGCCGCGGGCGGAACGCTGGTTTATTTTTAAAACGCATTACCTACCTACTTAATAATAGTAGCTATTACTGCTGAACTTACTTAAGTAATACTTATGTAGGGAAACAGGCAGGCATTACCCAACATGTGACTGTTTATTGTACCTACTTACCGTTAAGTAGTATTTTTTTAAGTGCTTACCTAATAAGAAACTTATACTTACTTACTTTCTATTCAATGAAGTTCTAATCAATAGGGCGTCTTTCCCCAGGTTAGGCAACGAAAAATACAAGAGCAAGGTGGTGTGGAAGACTCTCCATCCGTCTTGGTTGGAGCAGTTCGACCTTCACCTGTACGATGACCAGGAACAGATATTGGAGGTCACCGTTTGGGATAAGGACAAGCAGACGAAAGACGACTACATTGGAAGGTAATATCTATAATTAGTATTCTGTGGTAATATTCACAGAAAAAATACAGGCTGTAAGTAATAAAGTAGTAAGTAAGTACGCCCTAAAAAAGTGTGACTTCACCGCAGCGAATGGTGTAGCGCATCAGTAGCGGCGACGGCTTGGTATTATTTTGAATAACAACTAGCTTTTTCATTGGATTTTCACAGCCTTTCAGGGTTTTTTCAACATCGTTAAGTTAATATTTCTTCGAAAGTTTTTTAAAACTTTCGAGCCCTGGCACAGTGGTGATTTGGCCAAAATGACAGTTCTATGTTGCCAATACGAAATAAAAAATATGTCCCTATTTTCAGGGTATTTTCACAAAACTCATATTCAAATAAAATTGTTTCCAGGTGCACAATAGACCTATCAAAATTAGAGAGAGAAATAACACACAACATTTGGCAAGACTTAGAAGATGGAAATGGTCAGATATTTCTTTTGTTAACGATAAGTGGGACCACTCAGTCGGAAACTATTACAGATTTGGCGAGTTATAGAGAAAATCCGAGAGACATAGAAATAATTGAGAGGAGATACGTAGGTTTTCATTTTCTTTTGATATAGGTAATTTTTTTGTTTTTTGTATAATAATAAACAAAAATTGTTTTTTGTCCAGGCGTGGCATCGCTTAAATGAAAATTCTAGCGGAGTTGGCTGGCTTTGCGTCAAAGTTTACGGTGCTAAAGGATTAGCGGCTGCGGATTTGGGTGGCAAATCGGATCCATTTTGTGTACTAGAACTTGGAAATGCCAGGCTACAAACGCATACTGAGTACAAAACTTTAGCACCGAATTGGATGAAGATATTCACTTTGTAAGTATTGTGTCCATGAATATTATAATTTTAACCATTGAGTGGTTTAAGTAAACTATTGTGATCATGATGTTTTACAGCACAGTTAAGGACATAAGTTCTATCCTAGAACTTACAGTGTATGATGAAGACCATGATCATAAAGTTGAGTTCTTAGGGAAATTAGCAGTACCACTGCTAAATATTAGAAATGGAGAAAAGAGGTGGTATGCTCTAAAGGACAAAAAAATGAGAGCCCGAGCAAAAGGAAACTATCCACAAATACAATTAGAGATGACTGTAATTTGGAATCCGGTAAGCCTTAGTCGCTTATAAATCAAATTGATAATAATGTAGTTATCATTTTTATTTTTTCCCTTTTATCCTTTTAACTCATATTTTTACATTGAAAGGACCACTAAATTTAGTTAAATATCTTTATTACAGTTGAAAGCAGCAATCAGAGTTGTAAATCCAAAAGAACCAAAATACATGCACCAAGAAGCTAAATTTAAGAGACAGTTGTTCATTAGAAATGTTATGAGGTTAAAAGCTATTATAATGTGGTTCATTGAAGTTGGGAAAATATTACAGTGAGTATCACTTAAATCAAATAGGTATGATAAGTAGGTTACAAACATGAGTCAATAATGATGTTCATTTATTTTGTTTTACCCTTTTTCAGAGACTGTTTTGAATGGGAGTCAAGAATCCGATCATTCTTTGGGCTCTTGGTTTGGCTTGCATTCTGTTATTATTATGAAATGTGGATGTTGCCGTTTCTTATTCTCGTCTTCTTTACTAGAAATTGGCTCATCTATAGACTGACAGGTATTGTTAATAATTATTTTATGCATTATGAATCCTGTTATTACTTTTTTATTTTTGCATTGCATTCAGCATTAGTTTGGTTTTATTTTAGAACGAATTTTCTGTTTATTTTAGTTCCGTTAAAACCCATCCCACGAAAATCACAGAGTAGTTCATGGACATGCCTATCCATTTTTCGTAGTAAGTTGGTTAATTCATCAGTTGTACTTGTAACCTGTACGTAATTATGTGTAATCAGTGTTTTAAGCACGTCTTAATACTAAATGTGAGCAATGTTATGGTCTTATTAACTGCACTGTACCTACATCAAAATGTTATGTTGTCGATCGGTGTTTATTATTAAATAGATATTGTATTTATTTTAGTCACTCTACCTAACCTTTTTGTTCTACAGGAGGCAATCCTTTACTAGTACCGGTTGATGACGAAGATTTGCTAGCAGAAGAAGACGATGAAGATGATGGTGATAAGGTACATTGTTGCACTTAATTAATGTGAAAACCATTTATTTTTACTCTGAATAAACTTAAACAAATCGATCCATTTTTTAAAACTGCTGAAAATTTTTACAGGAGGAAAAAAAATCTTTAAAAGAAAGACTGCAGGCAATCCAAGAAGTTACACAGACTGTGCAAAATGCTATTGGATACGTTGCATCTTTAGGAGAAGCTGTTAAAAAGTAAAGAAATTATGATTATTTAAAGATACTATACACAATATTGAATTCTATGTAACGTCACATTAAAATATTGTTTTATTATTTACAGCTTAATGAATTTCACAGTGCCATATCTGAGTTATATAGCAATAATAATGTTGTTTGGAGCAATGTTAGTTCTGTATGTAATACCATTAAGGTATCTTTTAATGGCGTGGGGTAAGTACTTGCATCAAAAAACAATATCAATAAGTACTAGAAAAAGTTAGAATGGTATTCATTAAAATATTGAAATTCTTTTTAGGTATTAATAAGTTTACTCGAAAGATTTTAAGACCACACACGATACCAAACAACGAAGTCTTAGACTTACTTTCGAGGATACCAGACGATGAAACACTTGTAAGTAATAAGTACTATTTAATCGTATAAAAAACCAGGCATAATACAAGCTGTAAGTTAATTTCGTAGAGCCTACCAGGTATTTTATCTGTGTGTTGCAAAATGTAAGAAACTAAATTCATTTCCTTTTCTTTCATATTTTCATTTCTTTATTACTTTTGATTTGGTATTTCATTAAAGTCAATTATTATGTCTTTTTTTACGTACAATAAATTTCTTTCTATCTACGTGCTGTGCAAAATTGATTATAATTAACATTTTTTCTTATTTTATAGTTGGACTGCCGAGAGCTAAAACCACACCCTCCGAGTGAACACCGACGGGATGCAAGAAAGAAACACAAAGTGTCGTAACACAGTCCGTTAACGATCCGGGAAAGGATCAGACGTTTTATTTCTAAGGCAACTAGTACGAAAAACAACAAGGAATAACTTAGCTATCCGATCGACTTGCCAAACAGTTAAAAGTGATGATAAACCCATTGTGATTTTCCCTATCCATATCTTAAATAGCAAGCAAGATATTATAGATTTTATATTTAAAAGACTTTCACGAACGGATTAGTCTGGTGAAAGCTACTTAAAAAAACCGGCCAAGTGCGAGTCGGGCTCGCGCACAAAGGGTTCCGTAGCAGCAAATATAACCAAAATTACAGTTAAATCAACCTATCTCAAAAACTATAAGAGATACTTTGATCAAACCAAAAATCGTTGAAAGAGTTAATTAGCATGCATCACCTCTATTTTTTTTAGAATTTTATACCCCGTAGTTATAAAAATAGAGGGGGGGGGACATACTTTTTACGACTTTGAGAGCTGATATCTCAAAAACCGTTCACTTTAAGAAAAATGTTTTTTAGAAAACTTTATATCATTTTAAAAGACCTTTCCATTGATACCCCACACGGGTATGTACATCGAAAAAAAATTTTCATCCCTCAGTTACATGTATGGGGGGCCCCACCCCCAATTCTTTTTTTTACTATTTAGTGTCATAATTTTGTAGCGGTTCATACAACACATATTCCCATCAAATTTCATCACTGTAGTACTTATAGTTTCCGAGTAAATCGGCTGTGACAGACGGACAGACGGACAGACGGACAGACGGACAGACGGACAGACGGACAGACGGACAGACGGACATGACGAAACTATAAGGGTTCCGTTTTTGCCATTTTGGCTACGGAACCCTAAAAAGATTGCAATATAATATTGTTGTTTTTAAAACCGTATAATAAAAATTATGATACATGTAGGTACCTATTTATAAACTATGACTATCATAATAATTTGCACAATGTTCATGAAAATTGGGCAGGTTCCATTTGTCCACAAATTCCATAATCATTAAGTACATTAATTAAAAAAAGAATCCATATTTTTGTTACAAAAATAATTACAAACATTATTTTTAAGGTTTTCCTATATTTTGTGTGCTTGATTGTAGCTGGAGGAGTTCAGATTGTGGTAATAAACTGTGATTCTGAAAGATCTAATGCTAAATTAATTATTGAATTAATTGTAGCAGTCAACATGACACCAACTACTGATAAGGTTAGGATAATAAAAGCTGCTATGGAGTATGGTCCAATAATACCTATCTATGCGCCATGAACAAATAACACAGTAAGTGAGATAGTTTGCTAGAAAAATAACAAAAACTAATTTTCGTCCTCTATTGAAAACCTCCATAGCGCTCTGAAGTATAAAATTATAAATGCATGTAAGTCCCAATGTAAAAAAAGCATTTTACTGTAAAAATTAGATAGGATTTTTAAAATGCAATTTTGTATTGAATGTTACATTATTGTTGAGTTTACTAAAATATGAAATGAAACTTTTTATTATTTAGTTTAGTGCTAATATTTTATAAGTAGGTTTAGTCCGTTCCTCAACACATTAACAATCAAAAATATTAATAACACACAATAGTATAAGACTGAGACCAATCTCATTTGTAGCTAAAATAAATTACAAGGTAGATAGAAATTAATTAATTGTAAATACTAAAATAAATAAGAATGTACATTTTATTCTGAATTTAAGCGATTACTGTGGGCTTTTTCCATTCCAATTATCATATTGTTAAATTATTATGTACCTATTATAAAATAGCTTTAGTATATTGTATAAAATAATCACTATTTACCGATATTAATTTCCTGTTCAAGCTAAAAAATCTTATCATTTTTTTATTAGCTCTAGCAAAAATTCAGTCTTATATCTTCATTTTGCAAAGATTTTAATTCAGGTAATTCTTTATTCTAAAACCGTTTACTTAAATACTAATCTAGTATGAACTAAACTGTAAAAAGTACTCAATCAAGTTACTTATTATAATGTCGATCTTATCTACTTTTTTTCTAAAGTACTTCCTTACTAAATTTTCAGAATCATTCATCTTTTAGAGATTATCATTCACTTATCTTAATGATAGATCTAAGCATTTGTAAATTCTAGTCAATTGCTTCTTTCTGAAGCTGTGTTCCTGGAAATATTTTTACTATTTTACACAATTTTGGTTACGCGCACAGCTTAGTGTATCACTCTATTGATTCAAGCACTCTTGCACATGACTTTATAGATAGTATAGTATCAGTAACAGCCGCATAAAATAGTACAAGTTTTACAAAACAATAAAACTTGTATTATTGCACATTTTTTCATACTTATTAAGCTTCTTGATTTGCAAAAAACATTAGAATTTAATAATTCAAGCTGTAAGCTGGCTCAGTGTTGGGGTTGGCCACCCAGTCTACTAATAGTTGTAGTTTAAATGGGTATTTATTAAGAAACTCGTACCAGAAAGAGTTATCGTTCGATTGTGGTGATGCTAACAACGTATTTTGATTGGTAATGTTTGCGATTGGGGCTGACGGGGCCGCCGTTAAAATTGGATAAGATGGTTGTGGGTACGTTATTCAATCTATTAATACAATATAGAGATTCGCGAGAATGCTCATTTGATCGAAAAGAGTGTTAAAGCTATCAGAATCCCACGTACCTCGTTTCATCTGTTTTGAATCTCGCCGGGGTCCGAGTTTCTCCGGTATCCGACGCTCTGGGTCCACCTGCTCGTCGTCCGGAAGACACTCGTCCCCTTTTGCGCCAACCACCATCACGTACATGTCGTTCGTGGTCACACACGCGCGGTCAATTGCACTTTTTAATTTTAAACTTAGTATAAGAACCTTGAGAAATAAATTATTTCAGTAAAAATCTGAGCAGAGTTTCTGCTTACGATGTTGCTAGTTTGGAAGTTAAAGACGCTATGAAGAACTCCGAGCAAGCTCGCCCCCAGGTGACTAAAATGGCGGCAAACGGAAGTAAGTCAAATCAATTCCTATTAAATAATTGCGGAAATGACGTCATTTAAGGTATAAAAAGGTAAAAAACTACACCGGAAGTAGACGCATCTCACCAGATGCTGTGCATCGTCACATGCCGAATAATGTGATATTTATAAAACATAATGTTTAAATTAGTAATTATCATAAATGATAAAATGTTTGTTAGTTAAATATAATAAAACAAAATAATTTTTCCAAACATAGGCGTTCTATCTCGTTTTTTATTGAGTTTTCTGTTAACTTTAGGAATTATCCACTATAATGATTATGGTGGTGTTAACCTATTTGAATCTAATATTGAATCTTTAAAATGCAACTAAAAATATTTAAAATGAATTGTTATTAAGTTGTTAATGTATCAACTATGTCAAAGCTTCATTTTAATAAAGGAAATATTATTATTAATTGTTTTGGTACAAGTTTAAAATCGTACCTATAATATTGTTGAACTAAAAGTTTAACTTGCCTACAGACTCATTATTAAATTGATTGTACCATTGCTCTTCCTTTATTCATAAGTCTTCCCTGTTTATGTGTAATCAGATTTACTTAGGCACTAATGCAGTCATTGATTTTATTCAAATCTCATTTCAGCGTGTTTAGCTTTTTGCTTCATTCACAAATTTTCACAAAAAATATTTTTCATCAATATTTTTTTACATTGTGAACTACATTAACTTTCAAATTGTCAAATCTTCCAATTCAATGCCATTGTTTTAGATAAGTAAGTTTAAATAGCACAAAAAGTGATGAACAATGTTAACGCTTTCATATTTTAAAATATTAAAAGTGATAAAATTTATAATTTTGTGTATTCTTTATCTCTATTGTTTTATAATGGTCAGTAGTATTAATATGATAATGTGGAATTAGAAGTTAACGGCACAAAACTGCCAGTCTGGTAAAATAAAATTATTTCAATAATTTTTAAATATTATCTAACTCAATATACCGTTGAATTTTGCGATGACGTTTTTACCTCTTTTTCACCATGTTTTTACCTATCATCCTGATCCTGAAATCCAAATTTTTTCTTAAACAATTTAAGAATTTTATAGGAAAAATCTTCATTTCTCACAAGAATAACAGAATCAAAATTAATGCCATGTAAGATGAAATCCCATCAAAAACAATACTTGTCAAAAAAACCAAGTCTCGCAACTCAGTTGTTCTACGGTAAAAAGTTGTGAGATCCATGTTATACCAAGTCCAGGCCAGGAAATCTTTAACGTTTTACATAAATTATTGACTTGGCCATCGCACTAAATAATTTAATTTACACGTGTTTTCATGCGATGGCCAAGTCAATATATTTATGTAAAACGTTAAAGATTTCCTGGCCTGGACTTGGTATTACATGGATCTCACAACTTTTTACCGTAGAACAACTGAGTTGCGAGACTTGGTTTTTTTGACAAGTATTGTTTTTGATGGGATCTCATTTCTTTTTGTATTTTGTAGACAGCAGTTATGTATCTAGAAAACTGGACCGAAATTGAAAAATTTTACTCGACTTGGCGGTTGCACTACCGTGCCCCCAAATATTTTAGTTTTTCCTTGATTCATACACCAAACACTACTTATATTCCAAATTTGAAGCTTCTAGGTCTGCTAGAAGTGCCTTAGAGTTTTGATGATCGGTGAGTCAGTGAGTCAGTCAGTGAGTGACAAAATTAAGTAACTTTGACCCGTTATAATTCTTAAACTACTGGTTCAAATTGAATGAAATTTTAAATATACCGTGTCTTTACAATGCCTGCATAGCTAATGAAAATTCAGCCTTCTAGTTTTATCCACAACGAAGTTACAGGCGGTCGAAAATGGCCTGAATTGCTTCGAGAAAAGGATGGTACGGCCGTGCCGCTTTTTTGCTCGACTTGGTGGGGGCACTGCCGTGCCCCCAGATTATTGTCATGCTTGAATTATTATTAAGCGTGATTTTATTCTATAAAAATAAAAATGAAACTTATACAAAAAAGTTTACAAGTTATTACGCTAGATGGCAGTATGATCACTACGCATTTCGACACAGGGACATTTTGAATTATATCCTGGCAACACCAATAAAAAAATCGAGGCGGCCATTACTTCTGTCTGTCATTGTCTTGTCAACGAGTCGTGGCCGCGGGTGATCTGCCAAAGTACCAATTACATTTCCAAAAAAATCGCCCGTAACTACCTAAAACAATGGGTTCCAAATTGCAAGAGTACAAAGACACCTTAGAGCGCAGCTTAGTCGACAAAAGCAAACCGTGGACCAAATATTTCGACAAGGCTGAGCAGAGGACCGGCGTGAACAGAGTTTACCTATTCGTTGGTGAGTGCACCTTTTTTCGCGTTTATTTATATCCTTAGCGGTCGCTTTGACGTTGGTTCTTTTGTGCAGGTTTGGTCGCGTTCACCGGTTTATATTTAGTGTTCGGTTTTGGAGCTGAGCTGATATGCAACACGATTGGGTTCGTGTACCCAGCCTACATGTCAATGAAGGCGTTGGAGTCCCCTCAGAAGGATGACGACACGAAATGGTTGACGTACTGGGTGGTGTACGCATGTTTCTCGGTCGTGGAGTACTTCTCAGACTTCATTGTCGGCTGGTTCCCGCTCTACTGGTTAATAAAGGTTAGTATTTCAAGCCATATGTTTCAGCTTAATTACTCATCAATGAAAGTAGTGAAAGGTCACATTAACCTATCTTTTGGATTTTTTGATCTTGGCAAAAAAATTAAAGTGCTAGGTTAACCAGTTCTTTTATCAAGAAATGTTAAAGTAAACTGCTTTTATTTTATGCTAAATAACCTAGATAAATTATTTTTTTAAAACATAACCTTTAATAAAATTGCAAGTACATAATGTAGTAGTCACAAGTGAAACTCTACTAATTTGCCTTGAACTAGGCTATCATTGAGTCATAAAATTTGTCCAAAGATTGTGATATTCATACACTTTAAAATTATGATTCTTATCTTATCTAAAGATATATTTTTTTATCATATAGTTTAGTAGGTAACTAAGATCATTGGAAAGTTGATATAAAAAGGTGAGATCTTCACTAATCTTCATTTAGAATGATTTCAAACTGTTTCACATTGTTAGTGAATAGTGAATTAGAAATCAATTGTTAAGACCGCTAACAATTGATTTCTATTGTGTCTCAATTCACGGGGCTTGAAGGGTTCAACAAATGCAAAGCATATTTCATTTATGTTTAAGTTTGTAAATCAATGCCTTCAGTTCTTAGTCTCTGGTCAAAATACTCCACACACATTGAATAGTTGAATTAGATCAATATTCAATAATCTAGTTTTTTATTCAGTTCAGTCCAGTTTATGTTCACATTCTTTGTCTTATTCTACTATGTATATTGTAAACGTGAAATTGTGTGTGTGGGTTAGGTTAGGTTAGATTGTAATTTAACTACGTCAGATTATAATCTGACGGAATTCACAATTTTACAGTGACATATACATGCAACCGATAGTACAACAAGCTTTATGTGACATGAAAAGGACATGTCTTAATATAATTTCTTTGTTCATTCACACTCATTGTTTCACATCTGTGTACAGTCAACTTACTTTAAATCTACAAAAACATTTTAAATGCATTACCCTAATTACTTATTGTGTGGGTCATTATTCCACTGTTTACAAAGTATATTTATAATAGCTGTTAGCAAATTGATAACAGCAAGCTATCTACCCATTTATTAATAGGTTTTCCCCATTGGGAGTTGTACTTTTAAATGTTACCGTTGAATTTATGTTTTTAGAAAAACTTGTAATTTTTGTTGTATGACTGAAGCAGAAAATTTTAAGTAATCCTGTCTGGCGATGAAGCAAATGTATAATGAATACATGACAAAAGTTCTTGTTTGAGCAACTATGAGGATATTCGGAGATAATTGTCTTTAGAATACAAATTACTTGTTTATGTTATTAATAAATACTCGTATGTAGATTCAATACAAAGTCCAAACGGTTGTTTTGTTCAAAACTTGCTACCATACCTCTTTCAAGTATGACATTTGTTTAAAAAAAAACTGTTTAGCTAAACAGTGAAGTTTAAAAATTAAGAAGGGTTTACCAACATCTCAGTAGTTAAGAGTTTTTTAATTTTCAGTAAATTTTCAGTATAGTGCATGTTGAGTGCACATAAAATTTTGCTACAGAATCACTTATTACTATTGCATACAACCACAGAGTGCTTTACTTAATCCACCATTCTGTGCTCTTCAAGCCTTCCAGTCCCCATCTCTCTTTCTATCTTTCCATGGTATACTTTTTTCAATCGAGTGATGATACTGTACCGTAATCTTGGTACCTTAGGCAGGGTACTCACCTGCCATGTAGCACGTTACGTAGCATGTAACCATAGCTGGGCATTAACTCGTTAATCTGTTAATCGTTAATTAACGAAGTTAACATTTCTATTAACGGATTAACTTTTAAGTTAACTTTAAAAAATGTTAACGGACTCGTTAACTTCCGTTAAATTATCCTAAGTCCGTTAATCGTTAATCCAGTACCTACTATTTACCAAAAAGATACAGCAGGCACGCTAAAAACACTAGAAAAACGCGTTCTGACAAGTACGTTTGGGCTTCCACCCGATCACTAACGACACCTTGTTAGTGTGTGGGACAACTCTTGCAACTGAATTTAAGACCAGTTTTCCTCAACCGATTGAGCTGAAAGGACATCATCTACGTTTCATATATTTTTGGTCCAAAATCCAAAGTGCCGGCCAACAAAAAAAAGTGCTGTATTCTGACAGAATACGTCTGCCTTAGCATTTGTTACTATGGCACCAAAGCTGTAGCACCACTGTGCGTCGAGTATTTGAGATCTAAAAGTCATTGACTATTCATACATTTTTTGTTCAAAATCAAAAGAGTCGGCCAATAAAAAAAAAGTGCTGTATTCTGACAGAATACGTCCGCCCTAGCATTTGTTACTATGGCACCAAAGCTGTAGCACCACTGTGCGTCGAGTATTTGAGATCTAAAATTCATCGACGATTCATACATTTTTTGTTCAAAATCAAAAGTGTCGGCCAATAAAAAAAAGATGCTGTATTCTGACAGAATACGTCTGCCTTAGCATTTGTTACTATGACACCAAAGCTGTAGCACTACTGTGCGTCATAGTATTTGAGATCGAAGTCATCCACGTTTCATATATTTTTAAAACTCAAATACTACGATGCACAGTGGTGCTACAGCTTTGGTGCCATAGTAATAAATGCTAAGGCGGACGTATTCTGTCAAAATACAGCACTTTTATTTTTTGGCCGGCACTTTTGATTTTGACCAAAATGGATGATGTCCTTTGGTATACTTATGTAAGTACGATGACAATGCAATGTTATGGTACCATTGAGCTGGTCTGATGATGGAGTCATGAGGTGGCCATAGGAACTCCTAAATGAAACGGCGGCATCGCATCAAATTTGGGTTCGTTGGATTTGTCTTTTCGAGCACTTTAGTACTAGATGATGTCCAGGGTACTGATGATGGAGTCAGAAGTTGGCCATAGGAATTCCTAAACGAAACGGTGGAAACTTATCGAGTTTGGGTTTGCTGGATTTGTCTTTTCGAGCACTTTGGTGCTCTGAGATTGAGATACTACAAAAAAGTGTAAAATAAAATTATAATAATTAAAAACTTTTTTAAAAACAAGCTTTTTATTCTGAAATGCAGTTGTACTAAAATGAAAAAAAATATTGTACTTACGCAAGGTTCAAATAATTTCGAAAGCTTGTAGCGCAAACATAAAAGAGGAATACATTCCATGCGCGATACAAGCTTTCAAAATTATTTGAACCTTGCAATTATACAATTATTTTTTTCGTTTTATCATGTGTTAACGGATTAACGATTAACGTTAACTTGCGTTAAATCTTGTGAAATGTAACGTTTTAACGTTTAACGAAGTTAATTTTTTTATTAACGGTTTAACGATTAACGAAGTTAACAATTTGATTAACGGTGCCCAGCTATGCATGTAACGTAACCAACCTTCAAGTGAGTACGGCTCGTCCACGGTCCTCGCGTATCTGGCTGCGAGCTCCTGAATCCTACCGACGCCCCCGATTTAAATAAATTTAATATCACATTTTTTTCGGCTTTTGCACTAAGTACAGTCAACGAAAAAAGTTTCACAAGCTAATTATTATACTAAACTATGCATGTTGGACGGTATTTATGCAATCTGGGAGCAAAATTTTAACCCAAAATCAGCAGTAGTAAGAAACAAAAAACTTTTGTAGGAATTATTTTCATTTCATTAGATTCATTTTTGTGTTTAATTCTACTGGCCTAATAAATATTTATTAGTTTATAAACATTTTTGTGCCTGACTGTACATTTGATTAAAAATTGCTTCAAATCGTATTTAACTGACCGGGGGCGTCGACCACGGGTGCGTCGAAAACTGGGGGACTCGGCCACGGACCCAACCAGATCATCAATTGTTAACATTATACTTGGTCAGGGTCACTTTGTGTGGTACTCCTGATTTCCTACATGCTAATTAACTAATTAGTGTTCTGTAGATGGAAATACTAATTGAATTAACTGCATTGTTAAACATATCGACTTGGTAGTATGCAATTTTCCTCCTGCTGATGATTTGTAATAGAAAAACTTTTGGAGTCGTGCATATTTTGAGATTAATTGTACCTACTAATAATCATTGAAAAGGCCAGCTTGGGGACTGTGGGTACACTAGTAAATTAGGGTTGTGCTCCTGCAGTGGAGACTTGATGAAAAATAAATAAAGTATTCACTCAGATTTGAATACAATAGGCTAGTTGCCTAAAAAAATTTTTTTAGTCCGTAATGTTTAATATCAAAAAATATTGGACACATATATTTTTATTTGTCAATCTAACAAATAATTACATAGTTATGGTGCGTTGAAGTTGCGCACGACGTCACAACGTGCGGCATTTTTAAGCAAGCGTTGACGTCACGGGCCTCTTCTTATGAACTTTGGGGCGCTTTATCTCTTTAAATTTTCATTAGTTTGAAAAAGTGAAAAATACGTGTAGAGTATTTTTTGATAAGTTAAATGACGGACTAATTAAAACTCTTGCTTTTTGACCCAGGCAACATCCCCATTGCCTCTATGTTTTTCCCTCTAGGCAATGATATCACATTTTTTCTTCAATGAAATAAGATTGTGCAACATAGTGTAGGCAGAAGATGATAAAGTAAATGACATAAACAATCTAGAAGCGTCGTCAATGTTATATTGTTATTTACCATTTGCGTCATTTAATGCACATGTTAATGATTTTTGTTGACACAGTGCAATTTACTTTCAGTAAGGTCATGTTGCATGTTTACGTCCATTGCCCTATGCGCAGATTACTCTGTAAAAAAATTTTTTTTGTACATAATTTTAGATTGTAGTAGGTTCTTATAGCTCTTGCCCGCGACTTCGCCCGCATAATAACGGTCCGTCACACAAAGCGATAAGCTCGCGTTCCCCTTTCAAAAACCAGAGGATAATAACTATCCTGTTCTCTTTGACAAATTATGTATATTATACTTAAACCTTCTTCATAAATCAAAATTGGTGAAAACAGAATGAAAATTCGTTCAGTAGTATTTGAGCTTAGTGCAAAAAGACAGTAGAAGACTTTCTAAAATATGATTTAAAGATCTTGTCACGCCGTGGTGGCTCGAGACAATCGATTTTGAACCTTATGTATTAGCTGTCTAGACAGTCGATTTTCTACCTTATCCCCTTGCCAACTAAGTCGCAATTCATTTCCAGTGCATCTTTGTCATATGGTGCTACCTGCCCACCGAGTACAACGGCTCCCTGGTGATCTACTACCGTATCATCCGCCCGTACTACTTGAAGCACCATGACCGCATCGACAATATGGCCAACTCTGGTAAGAATTTTTTTTATATTCGAAGCACGTACACAGTTGAGAAGGGTGGCGCAGCTACACTATGCAGGATATTGATTGAACAGAAAGCGCGAGCACGCACACTGAGGTATGAGCGACGCACGGTGAAACTAACTGAAGTGTTTGTTTACACTATGTCTCGATCAATTTCCTAAATAGTGTAACTGCGCCATTAGAAAAGTAGCATAGCATCAAGCAAATGAGGATGGTCTATTTTAAGGATCAGTATTCTTGACTGCAGGTACTGGTCTTTTACTGATCTTTTGTTCTATTGTCTGAAGATAAAGTACACATTTTTAGTGCACGAAATGAGTTCATTTACCTACATTTGCTTGATGATGCTCGACTTTTTTGTGTCTGAATTTCAGGCGATTCTGATTGGGACACAAAATATAAAAAAATAAGTAGTTGACTTAATTTGGTGTATGGGAATTAAATTTCTGATGGTTTAAAAACTTCCTCCGTTTTCCGCATCCTGACAGCCTAATTTATCAATCGGCTTTTCGCGTTGAGAATTAATGAGAGAATGCGACGTTGAGGACAGTTTTTTTATCGAATACAATGCTAAGTCTGAGACAACCCGTGCGTCGTCGTACCTTATGAGATAACAGCTTACTGAGTACTATTGTTCTGATAAAATTACAAGTTTAGGAAAAGTTACTATAGTCTGGTCTGCGAGAACGTAGAATTTTGTCCAATGACCCCAAGCTACCCATACTTATCGCTCGCGCGTAATGAGGATCATTTCTATTTTTAGCTGTGAATGCAGATTTATAGGGCTAAGAAATCCTTAATACACAGTCCAAAAATTTTTGTTCTACGACAAAAATTGACGAAGTTATGGCCAAATTACTAAAAAAGTTCACTGACCGCCCGACGCGGGGACGATGACGTCACTATATCCGATCCGAACGCTGCCGGCGTACTGCGTGGATAGAAAATATTTTTTTCTAGCCAAACTATCAGTTTTAGAGAAAAACTTGTAATGACATTTATTCATCAGAATAAAGTAAGCTATCGATAGGTAATTTAAAAAAATAGAAATTGTGAAAAATAACGCAAAAAATCCATACGCTCATACGATTCAATGGAACGCAGAGACGCGATTGGGGTCTCCGCGGTGGTGTATTTGGCGATTTATTCAAATAAAGTGTTCATAAGTGTTGTTAGAGTCATATCTTCTTCCAAGTAAAATATAAAAATGTATACCCATAGAAACTGGTTATGACTTATCCCCCCCCCCAGGCCAGAAACTGGTTATTAGCATCATATTATTATGTATTATTATGTTCAATACAAACAATCATTAAGTTACACTCACCCCAACCGCGTCTCCGCATTGCATCGAATCCTATGAAAATGTGGTTTTTGGACATAGCGATACTTATTTTTCACAATTTTTATTTTTTTTAATTACTGGTCGATAGGTTACTTTATTTTGATGAATAAATGTTATTAAAAGTTTTTTTCTAAAACTGATAGTTTAGCTGGAAAAAAATATTTTCCATCCCAATAGTACGCCGGCCGCGCTCGATTCGGATATAGTGACGTCACGCGGCCCTGCGTACGTTGACTTTTAGCGGCAAAAACGGCCTATGTTTATTACTTAATATCTTCGTAAATAATGGTCCGATTTGGATAATTCAAAAAGATATATCTTTCTTATGTCTTAAAGATTGACGTAGATACCAGTTTTATTGAATTTTCTACAACAGTACTGATCCTCATTATGTTGCTGTCGCGCTCGCACACTCACTGCGGGCGCCCGTCGCACAGTCGCGACAGCAATATAATCACAGACCGGGCTTTAATACTTATCAAAATGTTTATTCGAAATTATTACGATGTCGAGAGGTAGATTTTATTTTTACATTATTTTAGTAGAATTTTGAATGACAAATTTTTTGTAGACCAACACCGACATCACGTTAATCTCGGTGGAACTACTACGTGTCATTAAGAGATCATCAAGAATTAATTCAAAAACATTACCATACCAAATGTATGTATCAGTTTAGTACTTATGCAGTAGATACTCTCCACTCTTGAATATTAAAAAGTGTGTCTTAAAAGATAAACAATTAGAAAAAAATCAGTAGGCGCTTAACTCAGTGCTTGAGGTATTAAAGCGGCATGGGAGGGGTAACATTGATTATGACGTGATAGGCCAGGGATGGCGAACCAATGGCACGCGTGCCAATGATGGCACTCGCCACAATATTTGAGGCACGCCACCAATCACAAAATTTATTATAAAAATAAACAGTAAATAATGTGTTTTGAATAAAGGCTATCGTATTTGCCCTTATCAGTTAGTGCCACTGTAAAGTAAGGTCCTGTCACTTGTACTTGATAGCATTTTTAGGTGTTATTTTGATGGCACGTCTATGCCTATATCAAAAATTTTTTTTTAGAAAAGTGGCACGTTAATACATAAAGGTTCGCCATCCCTGTGATAGGCCATACAAATCTGAAGTCTGAAGTCTCGCTGACGTTTGACCGTCACAAAATCACCCTCCCATTGCCCCTCCCTTCCTTAGGCACTGACTGAGTAACTTAAGCTCTAGATCTATAAATTCTAAAAAGGTTATGACTTGACATTAATGTCATATTTTATCGCATATTAAGCGCAATGAATCGACTTACTATAAGAATATTTGTAATAATAATAAATAAGTTAAACAAACAAAGAATGAAAAAAGATCATAAAATTAGAACTAAGATTTTTGTGTAGGTTAGACATTATTAGATTCGAATATTGGGACTTTGGGAGAAAGGCTGCTGACTAAAATTACCTTTTATATGAAAGTAAAACTTAAACGCGAGTAGGTATGTCGTGTCTAAGTGTCTTAATAAAACAATTACTAATTATAAATTCTTATTACGATAATTAAGTTCACTTTCATTTTATATTATGAGCCGCGTAGGTATAAATGCGAATTTTGTTAAATCATCGTCACTTAGCAATTTTAAAAATACAGTTACTATGTGAAACATGCCTTCGTTCATAAAATAGTTTCGCTAAGTAGTAGTAGAATGTATAATAACCTACATAACTGAAGTTTTTTTTACTATTAATACATGTACCTAAGTCTTTTTTAGCGTGGTAATTAAATGTTTAAATGTGAAGTAAAAAACGTCTATAGAAAACTTTCGAAGTTTACAATATCAATGGCATAAAGAAAACAACATGGTAATCGGTAACCATTCAAAAAATTAAATATTAAAAGATAGTAATTCAGAATCCGTGTGAGGGTTATCAAAAAATCAACCTCACTTAAGTTAATACTTTAGTTTATTAAAAAATTACAATGCTTATCAGTAGCTTACTTATACAAAACGACAATATTTCTTTTAGTTAACCCCTTGGAATAACATAACCATGTATTGTTATTTAAATTTTATGACATAATAATATGTCTTTTTATTCCTTTCGCTGAGCACGAAGCAGTTTTTATTTGTTTTTTACTATTTATACACGCGGTGACGTCACTGTTACCAACGGTGGTGGAACTTTATTATATCCCTGCCATAGAATTGCCATTTTTAATATTTACTGCAATCGTGCGCTTGGGCACATTGGTATGGCCAATATCAAAATAGTCACCTTTATTGCGTTAAAAAGCATACAGTTTCTGTGACGTCACTTGATTAAAAAAATTCAATAGCTACAAACGGTACTAGTAAATTAGTACTTATTTACTTATCAATATTATTATCATCAATGTTGATGCGTTATCAAATCAACTATAGCCTGACCAGGAACATAAAAACCCTGGCATAGAGGCGCTTCAATTGCATTTGATAGTGCAACACTGAGTACAGTCGTACATGTGTTAAATTAATAGGCTAAAGGGTTATGNTACTGTGATTCTTAAGATTTAGGTTAAAGATAAGTAGGTATAATTAATTTTTTTAATTATTTTTTAAATAATTCTTAGTAAAATTTTCTTTGTAAATCATCTATTAATATAGCCTGACCAGGAACATAAAAACCCTGGCACAGAGGCGCTTCAATTGCATTTGATAGTGCAACACTGAGTACAGTCGTACATGTGTTAAATTAATAGGCTAAAGGGTTATGTCCACTTAGTATGGGACCTTTGGCCTGAGGTGGACAGACATTACAGCATGTAATTTGTTATTGGTTAAATAGTCTATACCAGTAAGAAACAGAATATAAATATAATTTTGTATCCAAATCATTAAAAACATTGTTTTTTGGTTAAGTTTAAAAAGGTTAAAAGCAAAAAAAAACACCATTTTTTTACATTATTTTATTTTCAATCTGATTCATAGGTCAACAAAATATTATCCAGGAACTGGGCAGGTGGAAATATATGTTCTTGATACCTTGCCCAGCTCAAAAACCATACAATTGTCATCACATGAGCACAGCAACCTACTGTTCTTCGGCCAACCATACAATTGCAGCAGTATTGTTTTACTGCTTCCCGCCCATTTAAATTATTTTCATAAATAATATAAACATAATATATTTTACGGCTTATGTGCCTGCTGTGTATCTTACCCCTTAATAAGCTACAACTGGCCGAAGGTGTAGGGTAATCGTTCAGTAGGTTGCTGGCTGTGTCTCTACACACTTCTATAGTATAGGAACCGTTGCCTCTGATATGTTCCCCATAATATGATCGAGCCTGTTTTAGCTGGTATGTACCACATGCTATTAAAATTAATTCACTAAATTCCATTCTAGGGAATGACACATTTTCGATGTTCACATTTATACTGCGAAAGTCTGCCCGCCGTCTATTTAAATTATTTTGTATAACAAAATCAGCTAATACATTGTCAGTGTACATTTTTTGATTTATTATGTCCAGTATTATACCTGCATCCTCTCGATCAGTAACTCTCTGGTGAAACCGGTTTATAACTGCTGCAGCAACGCGAAAATCTGTCATAGCATGTTTAGATGCGCGGTTGAAAAATTCATGCCTAAGCAATTTGAAACATTGTTTGAACATACCATTCACGGCTTCAACCACCCATCTACATACTGTGACAGATCTCGATCTATTGGCTGCCATTGTTGACAACTGTGTTTCACCTTGTTGTAAGGATTCAGGCATGTGGACAGAATAATTACAATTCCTTAACAGCGGCACAGAATCTCTGAAGCCCCTATCCAGTATAAAAACATCTCCTTGTTGAAAATACTGCCTCAATGGCTTTGTCTCATCGTTAAATTCATTAGACATAATAGTCGCATCAGATGTTGTAGCTGGATAGGGGCCCAACACATCGACAATGTATCCATCGGTACATACGATTAGAAAAGGCTTCATAAGGTTCCTATACTTGTGTAAAGAATAAGTATCTTTTTGATACATATAATTAGAACTTTTTTGAACAAATAAGTATGTTCCATCAATTATAACAATTGGTTTACGATCGACACCACCGAACAATCCATTAGGTATTAGTAAATTCCTTTGAGAGATTTCAGCTCGCGTAATATTATCTGTCCCTAAGTATCTGGACACAAAATCCTCATTTAAAATATTCCTAGCTTTTCCCATCAATCTCATAAGCTTAGATCTGGATATGTTCAAAAGTGTCGAAATTCTTTTATCACTATCTCCTGTCCTCAACTTGAGTAAATATGCACCAAGTGCCAATTTACCATTACGCATAGCTCCAAGTCTTGGTAGTTCCGAATAGAGCTGTTCGAATTTGGCTTTTGTTAGTCCAACCCAATAATGTAAAAGCTCATCTGACATTCTCTCTACCTCTGAAAAATCCAACATCAGCGGCCTCTCATTAACAAAAGATGCAAAATCTTGTATATGGTCAGCATTAAAACTATGTATCGGTTGAGGAATGTCAGATAATACTTCCCAATTATCGTTGTGTAAATGGAAAACACAAATCCTGCAGTTTTGAGGTACATAAAACTTATACTCACTAAACAACTTTACCCTCAGCCAAATGGGAACAGCCAATCTTTGTGTTGAATTACACTCGGGGAAAAAACAATGACTTTGAGTGTCCGATGCTCTTGAATATAAGGGCAAATGAATTCTCGTCCCATCATGTGCTTGTTGGGGCTCCGCAGCATGTGTAGCAGCTCGATCAGCTCTCTGCCAGCAGGGATGACATATCTGGTCAGATCCCCGCAGCTGAAACAAAGAAATCAAATAAGGTATCATTCAAAATTCATTTTTCTTTAAAATGTTGAGATGTGATGATGTGATGTGAGACAAGTCAATGTTTATTTATCAGTAAAGTATTTGTATAGAACAAAACATACATTTTGTTAAAATATATCAAGCCAATGTCTTTCATAAAATATTAATAAAAATAATCATTACAATACTTACTTGACGAGGTGAAATCTGTTCCATTATCACATTTCGAATACGTGATTCTCTTTCTGTGTCAGTATGCAGCCTATGAGACCGTATTCGTAANTTTTGTTATACGACAAGTTAAGATTTTTATCACCTTTCTAGACGACACATTGAAGGCCGTTGTAAAGGAAATCAAGGATGACATCAAGCGGGATGTCATTGACATTAAGAAAAATGTCAGCAAATTTCTGAAGGACCTTTAAATGACCGTATGTAACTTACAGTCAGCTTTGCATGGGAAATATGCTTGCTTATGTAAACACATAACCAAATAGGTATTATGGGAAATGTAGAGGGTTTTGTATATTTTATGTTCTATGTCAAAGTAGTGTGCTTATTTTCGTCACATTTTTGTGTTGGTAGTCACAACGGGTCACGGAATATTTCTTTTTTTTTAGCTTTTAGCAATAACTAATGCAGAGTTTTTTTTACCTCAATCTAACTTGAGGGTAAGTGATCAATGAGCTCTAAAATGATACATGACACCTATGTAGGAGAGCTGAAAAAGTTTCACTCGAGTTATTCTCATTCAGCATTATCTTTTAGTATATCTACCGTTGTTAAAAAAGATAGGTAATTGTTTTTGAATCGAAAATAAGACAAAATTATGATAATACGAGTTGTAGTATTCAGGAGTGGAAGTCAAATCAAAGTATTGTAAAAACAAATTGGCGTTTATGAAAAAAAATATAATAAAAATAAATACTGCAACCATCCCATTTTTTCTGATCTTTATAAAGTGGGCTCCTTAAAAAAAAAGGTTAACATTAATTTTAGCCTTTTTTCTCTTTTCATAAGCAATAAATGTCCAAGAGTTGGTGCAAGGGGCCAACACGAGAATACAACGGTCAATGAGAAAAATGTCCGACGCGCATTGTGTGTAGAAATTAATTTCATTCGTGGAGTACGTTTATTTTTATTTATTTGTAGGTACAGACTGTAGGGTATATCATTAGTTCGATAATTTTAGATTCCTCACTATATCGTTATACCCCGGTTCCTATAAAATTACTCAAACACATAACCCTTATTTTGTGCTGTGGGGTAAAAATTCATGATCTCTGATAGCTCCGCTTTCGATTACTCCAACTTAGAAATCGAGATTTTATAATTAACTGACATTTGTAACACTGATTGTCGTCGATCTTCGAAGTTTTAATTTGGCTATTATTAAATGAGACAGTTATCTGCTTGTTCTGTTTGTCTTTATATTAGTTAAAGCAGGGATGCAAAAACTTACTGGTACCAGGTGACACTCGGGCAGATACATGTTCTTATTTTTTTATTATTGTTTTGTTTGGGAACTGGACATTTAGAAACCGGGGATGTATTTTTCATTATTTTGTAATGTTTTTGTAGAATGAACTCTTACTTGTAAATGTATCTAGTATATTTTATTAAGTAGATGATATTTTTAAGTTATAACCATTAAACACACCACAAACTCATACACCACCACTTATTTGTAGGTAAAGCAGACTAGAGCAATATTCAAAATTGAAAAAATTGGTAAGTTGTTTGGAAAATTGTGGCCAATGCTTGTTGTAACTAACAAAGCTTCATATTTATATCTGGCAGGAAATAACAAAACTATATGCCTTATTAACCCTTTATACAGCAGTGGGAATATAGTTCCCACCATATTTTAATAAAAAAATAAAAACAATGAAAAATTCGTACTTGTTGTGCCCGTTATTAAAGGCTTAAAAGAATATCCTCATTTAGCAATTATATATTTATGTTCTAATGAAACATTTATTTATGTATTTAGACTTGAGTGAACCGCTTACACTAATTTACTTTCATAATAGCTAGCTATAAATTATGTATTGTATAGCCTGACCAGGAACATAAAAACCCTGGCATAGAGGCGCGTCAATTGCATTTGATAGTGCAACACTGAGTACAGTCGTACCTGTGTTAAATTAATAGGCTAACTTTATGTATCAGGATTCAGGATTACGGCCTAATTTGATATTTTCATAAATTAACGAAAAAATATTATTATAGGTAACCTAGTTTAAATAAATTAAATGAAACCGTCAATCGAGTTAGTAGGATTTATTTTATTATTCATCAATAATCAAATTCAGAACTTGAATATTCAAGTGCAATGTCTGCTCATGAACCCTTCAAACTCGGTACTTCTTTCCCAATTCCATAAAATTCAACACTTAGAAAGTGATAAAAAACTTTAAAATAGGTAGTTGAAACAAACCACAGCTAATTTTCATAGTGGACTGTACTATACGATAAACATGTCAGTCAATTTGACAACCTTTGTCGGAAACATTATTCAATGAAAATATTGTCCGAACCCTTAGTATTTCTCTTCGACAAATACTTTAACACATTGTGAACCACTTTTCTTTCACGACTATAAAAAGATTTTAGCAATTTAATTCACAAAATCAATTGCGCACATTTAAAATAAAGTTTGTTTACACTTTGACAGCAATAGACTGACATGCAAGGTGACATGTCAATGAAGTTTTCAGTTACTGTTGCCATTAAAAGAAATTAGTACCATTAGTTTTCCGCAACATGGCGAGGGTTTTTATGTTCCTGGTCAGGCTATACTGGTAATATTATATCACTAAGGTTCATTAACACTTGATTGAAAACCTTGAAAAGTGAAATGGCATAGTAATCTATTTATTATGAATATATCAAGATAAAGTCTGAAAAATGATAATAGTGTTTTAACGAACAATATTTTTCTTCGTTGCTAACATGGCTGGTAGTAATTCAAATAGCTGCATAGTAACTAATTAATGGTTACATAATATTTCTTAAATAACACTAAAGAAACAAGAATTTGTTTTTTATTTACTTGTGCTGAGTTTAACAAACGTCAAAAATCTGTCAAACTCCATACAACAAACACCGGTTATTGTTTATGTTATTTATTTTATTTATACTTTAATGCCAAAATTTTAACATTAGTTTACTTTCGGGTTATGCAGAAAAATTAAATTGTTATAGTTACGATTAAAGTAAGTTATTGCAACTCAGCCTTAGTTGTTAAAATTGAAAGTTAAACCAAAGCTATTAAGTAAGTAAAGGTAGTAAGTAGGTTTTTGAATTTAAGTATTAGTAATATTTTACCAAACACATTATCATAACAGTATGTGAACTGTGAATGTACTAAAGATAAAAGCGTGGTTATCGCATACTATTTGTACTTTGCCGTGACTATAGAAATGTTTAATACACGGTCTGGCGGGTACGTAACAATTAAAACCAGTTTGGTAGTCCCAAATCCCAGTTTAGACGAAACTACTCAAATTCAAGGCTTTTTTTTTTATGATACAGCCAGCGTCAAATACTGTGTGTGTGTGTACGCCATCCGGCGGATTTTTCAATCGCGAAAACCCTCATTGGAATAAGGTTGTGTTGTAACTTTTTGGCCACTTACGGAGTCACGAACTATTTGACGCTGACTGCACTTGTCGTTGCAAATATTTTGCAATATTGAATTAAAATGTCACTAATGAATCGCGTTACTGCATATAATTTTACTATGGCAACAGTAGCAGTATTTCAGTTAGTTATCTACTTTAGTTTGTGTTGCCTTATTTTCACATTTTATGAAAAGCGGTAAAAAGGGAAATCATAAATCCGAATTTATTATTTTAGCGAACTTCTATCAGCAACACCGCGCATTTATTCATAGACAACTAAAAGATGTCGATTCGATCAAGAAAGTCAGACAGCAACGATTTCACACACGTCACTCACTATTCCAACTGTCATTGTTGATATTCATTTGTGTTTCGCGCTCTTGCGATAGTCCTTTGTTTTCCTAACAATTACCAAAACTACGGGTCCTATTCTGCTGGAGTTGATATGGTTGAAGTTAACCACATAGTTGAACCACGTATATTAAAATTGTTTTAAGTAGATAGTTTATTGTATGTGTGTATTTATGTACAATCATAAGTATTTTTTGTGTGGATTGTTGAGGATTTTATTCCTAAATGTATTTTGATAGTAACCTGGAAAATCTGAAAACTCTATTATAATATTTATTGATATATTGTGACTAGCACTAACCCTTGGACGTTTAACATTATTTTCTGCCAGATTACGTAACAAGGCCAATATTAAAATTAATTGATTGTTTATTAAATTAACTGTTAAATATTCAGCTGCTTGCCTTAACGTCATGGCTACTGCACAACTTTGTCGTGTATCCTACAGACAACAATTGGCGCTCAACATGTTGCATGTTGCTATTGCTAGTAACAAGCTTCAACAAAAGTTTGTAGTCGATTTTCAAAAAATTAAGCAACATTGTGTCAATTTTGATACCTTGTGGATACATGGCTTTGTACAAACACTCAGTAGATTTTCCGTTAACATAGATTGTAAAAATCTAGATATAGTTTATTAGGCTATGAACTAAAATCAATTAACATTTCTAGAGTAAAAATTTATTTTAAGTTCAGATAAAAAAACAAAGGCTTAATGCATTAGGTAGGTCCATCAACATTATTGTAATTTTTGAATCTTCATCTGCTGCTATTATAATTCATGTTTTTTGGTTTTGGTCATGTTTTTTGTGAGAGAAAAATGGGTCATTTCCCATAAAGTTACTATTGAGCAAGTCTGACCTCTGTTAGGATGATGACGCTCACTTTGTTCTAGTCACACAGTTTAAACCCAGAACTAGGCTGGCCCTAGATCTAACTAAAGTCCGGTGGCCGAGCAGATAGAATTTCGTACAATGACCCCAAGCTACCCTTATCGCTATTGCTGTCGCAACTGTGCGACGGGCGGCCGCAGCGAGTGTGCGAGCGATAAGGATGGAAAGCTTGGGGTCATTGTACGAAATTCTATCTGTTCAGCGACCGGACTTTAAATAACTATTGTATTTTCTAATGAATATTTTTTCTCTTTCCAGCCACCCGCTTGGTAGCAGATGCGGTTAGGAAGAACAACTAAGTAGTACGTCGTGACATTTGGGGGCGAAAGTACAAAATGGTTTTCAGCACCCGCTTTAGCTTTTAGCACAACACAGGCCTAAAATTTTACATTTGACGACCATTTATATGACATTTTACACCCAAAGGAGCCTGTATTCTCCGATGTTTGATGCAAACTTGCCTTCAGTTTTGTCAAGTCAATTAATAATTAGAAAATTGACGCTTGTTGATATAAAACTTTCAATTAGTTATTTATCAATTTTTAGAAAGTTTAATTGACTTAGAATAATCGAAAACATTTGCCTGATTTATGGAAATGCAATTTTGAAAGTACCTACCCGTATTTATAACGAAAACCATGTATTATTTTTAATTATTAAGTTGTTTTGTATAATCGTGACACAATTTTACATTTTTCTTTTTTAGTTCTAAAATTTTAGTTGAATCTTCTTTTTTTGGCTGGTAAGATCTTTTAGGGATTAGAAATTAAGTAAATGCTTCGGTTAGTTTTTTTATTTCCCTATTGTAAGATCTCTTAGTGAAGCAATGAATTTCTATGTTTAATTTCCTTAAAGATTTGCTCAAGGAGTGTTGTCACAGTAATGTTGTTTTAAGTTTTTTCCTAAGATTGCATAATTGTTAGTTTTTAAACACGTGTTACCCTAAAAATCCCCAATGTTGCCAGAACTTTCATAGTTTTATTACCATTTTTATACTGTTGAAAGCCAAAGAGCTTTCGCATGGCCCTAATGAGGAATTTTGCCACATTTTGCTTGTATTTTAAACAAAGTTACCGATGTTACGTGCCTTTGATGTTTTGGCTGTCCGCGTAAATATTTGTACTCATTGAAGGAATTTTTACCTTGTAATTTTTTCACATAATAAAAGGAATTCATTGTATAAGTTTTAGTGTTTTATTTATTACGAATAAGTCTGTAAATGTGGACGACAGCTCATCAGACAATACATTTTTGTTGCAAAATCGCCCGTAATTTACAACCATTTAAGATGCCACAGTGTTTGGCTTGATGTGCTGTCCTCTATGATTAAGTAATAATCTACTAAATGAGATCATGAAGGCTGACTCCAAACGAGCGTAATTTCCGCAGCGAAATAAACGTTCAAGTTCCAACACATTTTTGTGTCGTGTGAAGTTTATAATAGAACTTTGGTGGAGACTCAAAAAACGCGTCGTAATTACGCTCGTTTGGCCTCAGCCTAAGGAAGGATTTCAGCCCTGTTCCACATTGTATCCCCACTGGTGGGATACTAGGATTTTTAATGCAAATCGGTGGAGATATATGGAGCAAAAGATTCCATCCCTACCGGTTGCTACAATTGAAGAAAAAATCCCAGTAACCCTGCCAGTGCGGAAATGTGGAATAAGGGGGATTTTATAGAGTGCACCTAATGTGTTCTTCCTATAAAATAGAATAGAGTATTATTTTCTTGAAATGAGGCTAATGCAAGAATTGTATCAATAATTTATATTGATATAGGTACCTAGCTGAGGGATAAGAAAGCCTAGTCTGTGTAGCCTAGAAAGACTGAAGTTGTTACATTAGTGACTCGGGCTGAGTTGCACCATCTTATTTTAACCATAACAATAACTGGTGCTTTGAATTTTTTTTTATGTTTGTTATTGGACTAACCTTTGGTCAAAGATCAGAAAATAAAAGCTCTCATGTTTAGAAATATTTATTAAACTAACAATACACTATACAAGAACTAGACTATGGTAACATCAGGCTGCCGCTTCCTTGGCTTTCTCGGCTTCTAATTGTTTTGCCAAGTTTTCTCTCTCCGTTCGTCTGTTTCTCCACGCCGTCATGTATGTCCGCGGATGGATGGGGAAGAAGCCAGATAAACCTGGAAATTGAAGAAACTACTATTAGACTATTTTTGAGATGTTTTATCATACTGGCTGTGATTACTACTTTATTTTCATAATAATCAGTAAAGCCCGGTCCGTGAGCACGTAGAATTTTGTCCAATGACCCCTAGCTACCCATCCTTATCGCTCGCGCGTAATTATATTGCTATCGCAACTGTGCGACTGGCACCCGCAGTGAGTGTACAAGCGCGATAGCAACATAAAATTTACGCGCGAGCGATAAGGATGGGTAGCTAGGGGTCATTGGACAAAATTCTACGTGCTCACGGACCAGACTATAGGTGTGTTATATTTTTCAAAAACATTTTATGTTACTCTCATAATAGCATTTAATTTTATATTTGCAATTAATTTTGACTCAATTAAGCTTGAAGATATGTAGCGATATGTAGCAATATAAGGTCTGTTTTTATGAAGTTATGGTAAATGTACACAAATTGTGAAATTTAAAGAGTTAAATTAAATTAAAGCTGAGACTGTTTAAATATTTAAAAAACAATTCAAGGTAATTGTACACAACATACCAAGTATTTCAGCCACTGGTGGGGAAACATGAGCACCTTTTCCGAGCCAGTATTTCATTCTTTCAAGATTGAGAGCAACCAACTTTTCGTTGTTTATGTTTGCCATAGGATCGTATGAACCCAGCTGTTCGATCACTGGCTGGCTGTTCAGTCTTTTTCGCTGTAAATTAGGTTTAATTTAGAAATATAAAGTAATCAGAAACAAATATAAACGAGCTGTACTAAAAATCCAAGTCAAACTTACCTGAGTTACAGATATATGAAAAAAAGGCCTATTAGTACATCCTTGACGGATCAAACGTATAGATTTCGCAGCTTTTGCGAAAAATCTACCCGTGCCGCTTGCTGGTGGCAGCGACATTTTAGATTTTATTTACGAATTTACCGAAAATAACCAAGAAAAATAACTGCACGAAAGATAACCTCACTTTTTTGACAGCTAGCTAAACAGTTGACAGATGAATAAACGTTTAGAAATTAATGAAGTTATGGCTTATAATAATTTTTAAAAAAATTCGTCACCTACCACCATGGCCTACCATTGTAACCACAATCTGTGACTATAACCTTTGCATACTAATTTCGAGTTTGTTTTGAAAATATCCAGTTAAATTGCCAATAAGTATCATACCCTACCTCCTAAAAACTTTTGAGTTCCTGATATTTTATCGATAGTGGAAATATCAATTACTGTAAGGGACAAAACACGACTTTTCAGGAGAGCCAAAAAACGATTTTTTTTTTCTTTATACCTCAATATCTTTTAATGTGATGTTACGATTTAAATAGTTTCTATGGCAAAGTTTCTTAGAATTTTCTGTTCTTTCATAATATAAACGCCAAATTTTCGAAAAATGGGTAGTTTAAAAGATAGCATGTCCTTACATTAAAAAAACGAGCTTGACTGCACCTTACAATGTTGAAATTTCACAGTATGGAATGTCATGTATGTTGTAAGGTACATTTAAGAATAAACACGACAGTAATATTATTGTAACTTGACAATTTTAACATTGAAACCTGATGTAAGTAGAGGTTGCATTCGAGTATTCATTAACAAAACGAAGAGAAGAGATAGAAACAAGACAACTTAGTGTTCACAAATGCAGTTGGAGGCATCAAATACACATCACCAACAAAACATTTAGTCACTGATGATGCCTACGTCTGCATTTGTGAACAAGTTGTCTTGTTTCTATCTTTTTCTGTTCATTTTTACGCAGTTTGGCAAATTCTCATTTGGCAAAACAACTTATTGCAAACTTTTAATTCGCAAATGTCTTTTTTGGCATATTATTGTTTAGCAAATTATTGTTTGGCAAAGTATGTTTTGCCAAATGTTTCATTTGGCAAAAATATTTCACGATAAACTATTTACAAAATAATTATTTTGGTGCATAGAATGGAATACAAATTAGCTTGTGGTTATTATTTTGTTTAGTGGGTAGTTAATATAAAATTTGTTCTAAATTTATTTTCATATTTCATTATTTTTATCGAAACTAAATGATTAATTAACAATAGAGGTGATTCTAGCGCTCGGCGGCCGCTGCCGCGGCACGCTTCGCTCGCCTTCGCGCGTTAAGGGTCACTGTTCTAACCTAACCTAACCTACTATTTTCTGCAAAACCTACTTTCGCATCCATACTATTTTCTGCAATCTCTTTGTTTAACATAAAATTCTTGTGAAAACCATGATCATTTGCCTTGTGCTTTAATTTGTGGGTAACGGTGGGTAAGCATGTGAAGTGTCAATTTGACCAAATAAATTATTTGGGATATAATATTTGGCAAAATAAAACATTTGCTATATAAACATTTGCCAAGTAAAATTTGACCAAATGATATTTTGACCAAATGAATTAGTTGCGAAAAGTACATTTGCTAAAAGTTCATTTGGGAAATGAAACTTTGGCGATAAGTTGTTTGCGAAGTGAAATTTGGCGAAAAGTAATTTGGCCAAACGGAAGGATACCGCTACACCTTTTTATTCGATTGTAACAGTACTGGTTTACTCACAAATCCGTTTTATCTGATTTTCGAAATCATTTAATTACACTGGTGTTTATTATTCAAATCAATGACTAATGCTTGAACTAATTTGGACATATCAAGGTCTATCATTGGTATTTTTTTCAAACTTCTGCGTTGAGCCATTTACGAGATCTGGGACATCACAAAACATTACCCCAGCAAAATTCTGAATAACTTGAGAACCGGAACACGAACAAATTCTGCTATTCGTGGACAAATTACTACGCAACAAAAGCTATCTATCCATGTATTTGGTTCCGGGATAGAACAACTTTAAAAAAAAAATCTGTTTTTTCCTAATAACTTTAAAACTATAATTTGAACGAATTTTGCTATTAGTGGACAAATTTCTGCTCACGATGGACTAATTATCTGCTATACTTTCGACTCTGTAAAGCACAACATTTATAAAAATTTTGCTGCGGTAATGCACTCACGACCTCATAAAAGTAACGGGAATACGCTGGATGCATGCTGCAACCAACCGGCCATTGTGGAAGAAATCATTGGGGGAGGCCTATGTTCAACTGGACGTGCTATGGCTAAAAATATGATGTGGCTTTGCGCAAAAGAGAGATTTCAAGAAATTTAATTTAATTTAACAGTCTTACTTTCGTGACCGAATTACGTAATTCCCACAAAACAAGGGAACATGACATACAATGGACAAATTAAAATGTTCCTTGAATAAGCTATCCTGTTAATTTTAGCTTGATATTACGTCTTATAAGAAAGTTATTGAACTGCAAAAAATTACCAGACAAGACTTCCGAAAAATGCAAATTCTTTTATATTAATTGTATCAAATTGATCCTACAAACACGGTCGTACGATGAAGTCAAACTTATAATTAAAGACATAATTACACTATCTCTCCATGAATACGTCAATGCCGATCTCGATAATACGGAATCGAAGTGTGAAAAAGCATTTACGCGTTTGAGCGACAAAATCAAAACACATGATATTATGAGAGACACGGTAGAAATTAATGGCATTGAGGATAGCTCCGAAAAAGATGAATTCGTTACAGAAGATGACGAAATTGAGCAAGATAAACCTATGCCTTTGATTCAATACTATGACGACATTATGACTACAGAACTATTATATTTACAGTTAATTGAACCTTCCCATATGAAAAATGATTTGTATTTACCTGAAATTAACAAAACTCTGAAAAGACTTTAAAAAAAATTGCCTATGTGGGGTAATATTATGACAAATAATTTTCCTGGAGCCAAAGAGTATGCCAGCAGCTCAAATGTAGAAAATCACTTTAAGGACATTAAAACTATATATTTTGATACCAAACTTGAACGCGTTCGTATAGATGAATTTCTTGTACAACATTATAGTTTTATTAACGGAGCCGTTAAATTGAGCTCAAGTCAAATGTTACATGAGACAGCAAAACAACAAAAAGAAGAACAGGCCTTGAAACTAACTGAAAGTAATAAAACATTGAAACGAAAAGCCAATGATAACAATTTTGAGAATCCCCCACAAAAATTATTAAAAAAAAACGAACGAGGAAATATTTTCTCAGCAAAATCAAATGTATCTTTAGCGTCAAAATCAATAGAAAAAAAAGAATTTGAATGGCTAACTGATTCAGCAGATTTTGATAATCAATCAATTTTTCAAAATAAACCAATAGAAATTGAAAACTGGCGCGGACTTTCATTACCCACTCCTAGAGCAAAAAAAACACAGCAAAACAAACTATATACATATTGCAAAATGGTAATATTTCAAATTCTATTTTACTTCCAAATAGGGTTCTAATAACAAATACATGTGCTTTTGATTCCGTTGCGCAAGCATTCGGTGTTGCATATCATGATAGGCCTGATATCAGAGAAATTATAAATAGTGTTAACGATGACACAACAACTTTCCTCAAAGTTTTATCAACCACAAAAAAAAGTAGCAAAAGATTGTATGAACTTCGTGACCAACTACTGACTGAAGTTTTTAATAAATCACAACAAAATTATATTCACGAGCAACATTTACTTTTCTTCCACCCGACAAAGCTGTTGCTCAAATATCGCATGCTCAAATCATTTGAAGCAAAAGAAATTTGATTATATACCATTAAACATCGACATCATAACACAAAAGGGTATACATTTTTTGGAAGATTCTGCAACAGCTTGCATAAAAAATGACAATGCATCTTTGTGTCCTGTTTGCTCTTTGTGTCCTCTTTGTGTCAAATATGATTTAAAACATTTACTTTTTTTTGAGCTTCATGATATTTATGTTAATCTCAACGATATACCAATCAATATAGAATTAAACGGCCAATCATACAAAGTATTAGCAGTCATTGACTTCGACCCACCATCATGTTCCACATTTATTGGTCATTACAGAGCATACTGTTATAGAACAAAACAGTGGCGGCGTAAGGCGTAGGCGACGTGGGCCACCGCCTACGGCCTTGCGGAACAAGGGACCTCGCGCATCAAAAATTTTGAAAGAATGTATACAAGGTGGAGATGACAATATCACAATACGACAATAAATGCAAACATGGACTTATTAAATATAAATTCTTGATAGCTAAACAATGTTGTTAAAAAATATATTTTTTTCCAAACAAATTCAGCCATAATCAGACACAAAATTAAGCAACAACACGGTTTTAAGTGACGAACATTATTCTTTGGCGCAATATTCCTTTAAAAACACCCACAACAACCACATAACAAGGCCTCGCGAAATCTGTCTTGCCCACATCAAATTTAGGTCTTGCCCCGCCACTGAACAAACACACAAGAATTTGAATGTTATGATGATCTCTACTGTAAGCTACAGATATGCAAAAGCAATATAATGCCACACATGATTATATATTCATTAGTGTAGAGAAATAAAATGTATCGTGTAACGTTTTATTTCAAAGTCATCCAACTCTAATTTCAATAATTAATTTCTCAGCCAGTTCTTGATGGATTTCAAAAATAACTTCACCGGCTTTTTAGTTTTGGTCTATATTTGAAACCCATTCAGTGACAGAAATGTTTTCAACATCAGAAGTTTCGTGATGTTGAAAACATTATATTGTGAAAGAATCACAACTTTAAACTTTTTCGGATTTATTAAAATGTCAGTCAATGTTGGTCACGGAGTTCATACAATCTTTACAACTACCTATTTCGTAGTCGATAAACTTTTATGGAAAGTTGTTGACACTATTTATAATTTCTCTGAAATCGGGCCTTGGTAACCGATACCTAGCGCGACGGAATCAAAAGCAAATATTTGATATTAAGACCCTATTTTAAAATAATATAATTTGAATGTTTACCATTCTGTAATACGTATGTAAGTACATGATTTGCCTTTTTTAGGGTTCCGTAGTCCTGACAAGGAACCCTTATAGTTTCGTCATGTCTGTCTGTCTGTCCGTTCGAGGTTTTGCTTGGAAACTATTGGCACGATACTAAGCAAGTGAAGCTGCAAATCGAACGCATAGCGTTGAATTGATTGGTTGGTGTTGTCACCGGAAAATAACAAGACTCGTAAGTTGATCAATTTTCTAGGTAGTTGGTCAACTCTCGGAAAATAATAAACGGCAGTTGAAATGTACTACACTCGCGAGCAAAACTATGGAATCACTTAAATGAAGTTGNCTTTAAAAACACCCACAACAACCACAGAACAAGGCCTCGCGAAATCTGTCTTGCCCACATCAAATTTAGGTCTTGCCCCGCCACTGCTTCGCACCTGCAGTCCACATAGATTAAACACCCGCAGTCCCAGGGGCGTTACAGGTGCGTTGCCGGCCTTTAAGGTGAAGATACGCTCTCTTCTTGAAAGCTTGCAGGTCGTATCGGTCCGGTAACACCGCAGACGACATTCCATTCCACAGTTTGGTTGTAAGGGGCAGGAAGTTTTTAATAACTTAAAGTAAAAATTATTCATGGAAAACATTAGTTTTAGGCTTTACTTGCTCTAATATTATCAAGAGATGAGTGTCTTATCTGTGGTAACTAGTACTTACTAAATATTTTATAAGGAAGATGGAAACATTTAATTTTCGGATAGATCCAGTTTACTCTCTGTAACCTATTTATTGATACTATTTGATAGAGCTCGTGAAGCACTTTTAGGATCAGTAAATAGTTTTACGATATCTTGATTATTTTAAAAATAATCGAGTGACACTTATGTATGGTTTCCACGGTGTATGTAACAATATTTTTTTTATAAGTGACCCCCTCCTGATTTAATTATCAATGTAGTACCTACCTACCTACACGTAGAATGGCTCACTGTCTGTCTAGACTGTTTCTCTCCCTAAATTACAAAGACCGTTTTATTTCAGAACCTTATTCAAATCACAAATACAAAAATTCGAAAGTTTCATAACTTATTTGGTAAAGATCTCACGAAGACATAATCCCTACATTTCTGTACCTAATTCAAATCTTGGCTAGACAAAATCGATTGGGACTAGACTTTATCTACTTAGATTTAAAATCGACGGTCAATTTACATCAATACGAAACGTCTGTTGCTACGAAAGGCGCTACGGGCTACAAATAAAATTATGCGATTTTCAACTAGCGTCGTAGTCTTATCTCGTAGTCCGTAGAGTCGTAGTAAGTTTGGAGTAGGGTCTTGAGCAAAAAGTTTTGATTTTTGAAAACCTTAAGAAGTTTATTATTATTTCCTGATATTTTATTTAATATCGTTTTCTGCTGCTGTATTTCTATGTTGTTCCAAAGACGAATCGTCGATTCTAAAAATAGCTCATAAGTACAACGACTCAAAGCGTCGAATCGATCGTACAATCCATCATTTTAACCTAACGCACATTACGTAACAAACAAAAGGTATCGATTAGGCCGTAATTTTGCCGGCGACGAGTTTTTTTTAATGCCTACATGTACCAGGGCCGCATAACTCTACGGTGGTTTGAGTGAACCCAATTCGCGCAGTGGCGCCATCTACAACTCGGTGTAATTTTTTACTCGCTTCACCGTTAGCGAATCCGCTTTTCATTCATCGCCCGAACTCGTTAGTGAGGGGGGGCGATGGAATTTTATCAACTGTCGATATGCACTTGCCTATTCCCGTGGCATCTCTTGCATAACTAATCCCAGAACTGTAATTAATGTATTAAGTAAATGGAAATTTTTCATGTGCTCTAAGGATCTAGCCGTGCAATGGGATCAAAATCGTAAAAAAGAGTGGTGAGTGAAGTGGAGTGTTACACAATAGTTTTAAATTGGGTAGGAATTAAAAATCAATTTTTCACCTAGGAAACCTAAGAAATGGCAATACATCTGTCACTGTAATTGCTGTTCCTGGTCGACTTTCATCGACAAAGGAAAATTGTCGACAATTTTCCGTTTCCCCTCACTATGCTCTCCCCGATCACTACCAGCGTCTCTGACCGACATTACTCGACCTTACTATAGACAAGGACGGCTGAATACACCAACGCGGAGTGGGAGAAGGACAAATTATACAACTAGGTCACGGGATAAGAGGTGTCTTGCGACTCCCGCTTCAAGCAAGCGCTTCTGGAATCAAGAAATTGCTGCTGGCTGGAAGGATAGCTATAAATAGCTAGCAGCCTCTTTTATGGGACCGCCGTAATTAACAACTATAAACTTCATAAAGTTCCGATGCTTTTTTTCTATTTATGGCCAGTTATAAGTGGGACGTCTGACCTATTTTCTATGGCTTTATTTTTGGACGAAGTTTATTAATTTCGAGAACATTGAACGCCGTGCTTTCGTAATATATTGGGAGGGTTAATAGGCTAATGTACCTTCCTGAACTCTCACGGGTTTTAGGTATTTGTACACTGGATTTGAGAAGTAGTAAAACAATATTAGTAAACAGAAAATTTACTATAGGTTTATTATTCATGAATGTGGAAGAATTGATTTTGAATTAATGTATTAGAAGGTTCAAATAGTAAGAAGTGCTTTAGACGAGGAACGCACTAGCAAGTTCGATTAATTTATTTACTGGTGATCATTGGTACTATGTACTTTACTTCCAGTAACAAATGTGAGGTCGTGTCTTGTCTATACTGTTCGTAATCATCTAGTATTCAAATAGGTAATGAATCTGTTTAACGCGCGTAATAAAACCTCGCTGAATTTCAATCACGTTGATTAACCATATTAGCAGATCGCTCAAAATATTTGTTAATTGAGCTAAACCGATTGCGTTATGAGACGTTGTAATAAATCGAATTATGCGGTTAGTTGTTACTTGTTAGTCAAGCGCTGCAAGCGCTGAGCGGTTCAGTGGCGCATGCGCGAGGCGTGTTGATCGATGCCACGGGCGTCCGCTCAGTGCTCGCGTGCCCTCGCACTGGACCGCACGCCATCATGAGACCACAGTGACGCGCGAATCGACCAAGCTGTATCTGCGCGAGTACGCCGGAGAGGATGAGCGGCCGCCGTGCCGGGAGCGCGAGGAGTGGCGCCGGCAGGACTGGTCCGGCGCCCGCGGCCGCCTGCCGCAGGTGGACCGCAGCCCCTCGCGGCGGTCCCCGTACCTCACGCGGGACGACGAGCCGTCGCCGGCGCCCGACGAGCGCGGCCGTTCCGCCTCCGCCGGCGCCCACCACCGCGCCCGGCCGCGCCCGCTCCGCTACCAGTCCCTGGAGCGAGACTACGACCGCTCCTACGCCCCGCCCCCGCCCCCCGAAGATGACTATTACAGGCGAGAACCACCACCCCTCTTCCTGGGCGAACTCCAGTCCCAGAACTCCGACCTTCAACGGGAGCTGGGAAACCTTAAGAAAGAACTGGAACTGACCAACCAGAAACTGGGCTCCAGTATGCACAGCATAAAGACCTTCTGGAGCCCAGAGCTGAAGAAGGAGAGGGCGCTGAGGAAAGAGGAGAGCGCGAAGTACAGCCTCATCAACGACCAGCTCAAACTGCTCAACCAGGAAAACCAGGTTAGTTGTAGCTTAAGATCTTTTACTTGAAAACTATCGATACATGAATTCGATTCAACATCACTACTCAAAGTCTATCCAATAACGCAACTACCCTATAAAGTTGTAGCAGACTAGAGACTCTACGTCGATTCAAGCTGAAGTTGCAATTTGACAGCTGAAAAGTACTGTCGTCCCTTTCATGTCGCGAGGACCGGAAAAGGACGGCGAGCCTTTTCAGGCGGAGTCCTATTGCGGAAGTCTATTGAATGATTTACATCAATGTTCATCATAATGCGGAAAGCGTAAGTCTGTGGTATTGTGCGTTAAGAAATGGGAAATAAAGAAAGCATAGTATTTTTTATAAGAATCACTGAAAATTATGACTGTAAGCTGACATAAGACTTATTTCCATATTGAATGTGAACTAGCCATGTTAATCAATGGTTTATAGGTACACTATGAACCCTCAGGCGACTAGTAAACGTGCAAGATCACTATGAAGGCTGGCTACTAAGTATTATAGATACCTAGAGACACGATAGGCCGAGCAAACCTTTCCCTACTTAAAGTAAAACAGATAGGTAATCCACATTGATTATAGTTGCATAAGCCTAAATTGGATAATAGAGCTGTTCAGGCAGAAATTATGTAGGTCTAGATACCCACGTTCGTTTGGAAGTCAGAGACATGTCTGAATTCGATTACAAAGGAATTTTCTAATATGCAAGTAGGGTGTGATTGTGGAGAGAATAGAATGCGATATGTGTGTGACTAAAATAAAATATGGTGATATTACACAGTCAGAAATTCCAAGTCTGCTGATACTGCTGGACAAAGTATGGCCAGCAATGCTAAGAATGTGCTGAGACTCGTAAATTGTAGGTTCTTATTGGGTTTGTGGGAGACGAATCGAACGTCTCCTCACATTAATTTATCGGAGGTAGATGTTCAGCAAATTATAAGCGGCTTTGAATAAACAAATATATTTACAATTGACTAAAAATATACAAAAAACATAAAAGAAATAAAATTATCAATTCGAACAAAATCAAAGGCGCAAGTCGCAGGGAAGTGTCAAAAGTGACAACATAAATTCTTCTTTTTTCATTGCCGGCCAGGAGAGCGCGGCACGGAGCGCCGCGGGCGGACCAATGAGTCCGGATTGTGGCGTACATAGAACGCCACAGTACTCCCCCGCCAGACCGTAACTACGGTCGGTAGAAGTCAGGATACCTCACTATTCTGCCGCTGGAGGTCTGCCTGACATTTTCTTCATTGACGACTGGAAACTCTGCCTCTCTTGAATCATGTGTTGCATATGCTGGCTTAAGCCTGTCTATAGAGACGTTCACCTCCTTTGTGTTTATGTCCAAAGTATAAAACTTTGGTTGTCTCTTGATCACTCTGAATGGACCAGCATATGGAGGCTCCAATGATGTTCTGAGGCGATCTTGCCGGACGAAAACATGCGAACTGGACTGAAGATCCCGTGGAACATAAAACGATGAAGTGACATGCCATGAAGTTGGCCGAGGGGTGAGCTTGGCCATGTACGCGCGAAGCCGGGTTGCGTACTGCGTGACATCGGCAGTTTTGTAATCATCCCTCGGACTCAGGAACTGACCTGGGAGGCGAAGAGTTTCGCCATACACCAACTCAGCAGGGGATGATTGAAGATCCTCTTTAAAAGCGCTGCGCATGCCAAGCAAGACCAACGGAAGAGCTTCATGCCACTGCGAAGGAGCATGGCACATGATCGCCGCCTTGAGTTGTCGATGTAGACGCTCGACGATGCCGTTCGCCGCAGGGTGGTAGGCGGTCGTGCGGAAGTGGTGCGCACCAACCATGGCAGCAAGGGCCTCGAAGAGGTGGCACTCAAATTGACGGCCGCGATCAGTGGTTATTCGCTCGGGACAGCCAAACCTGGCAATCCAACCCGACACGAGGGCGGCAGCGCAGCTCTCCGCAGTGATGTCCTGAAGTGGATATGCCTCAGGCCATCGGGTAAATCTGTCGATGACAGTAAGGCAGTACCTGAAACCAGAGGATGGAGGCAACGGCCCAATAATGTCGAGATGAATATGAGTGAATCGTGAAGATGGTGTGGGAAATGAAGAAAGTGGCGAATGAGTATGACGTGATACTTTACTTTTTTGGCAGCTGATGCATTGCCTAGCCCACTCTCTACAATCTTTGCGAATCCCTGGCCAAACAAAGCGTTGAGAGACCAGTCGCACCGTAGCTGAACTTCCGGGGTGATGAAGATTGTGCAGCATGTCAAAAACTTGTCTTCGGAAGTAAGGAGTGATAAATGGACGTGGAACAGTCATAGAAGTGTCGCAGTAAACAGGTATGTCACTGTACGTGGTCGGTATCTTTTGAAGCTTGAGGGAAGAACCGTGAAGCAGCAGATCTTGCAGTTCAGGGTCATTCTCCTGAGACTGCGCAAGTTTCTGGTAATCCAAAGATAATGTAATTTCTTCAACTCGGGAGAGGGCATCAGCGACAACGTTTTCAGGGCCAGGAATATATCGAAGATCAGTAGTGAACTGCGCAATAAAATCCAAGTGCCGAAATTGCCTAGGTGAGCACTTATCTTTGGCTTGAGAAAAGGCAAAGGTTAGCGGCTTGTGGTCGGTGAACACTGAAAACGCTCGGGCCTCAACCATGTGCCGAAAGTATTTGATTGCCTCGTAAACAGCTAGCAACTCACGGTCGTAAGGGCTATACTTTGTCTGTGAAGGACTTAGCTTGTGCGAGTAGAAAGCCAGAGGCTGCCAACCCTTTCCAGCACGTTGCTGCAGAACTGCTCCAATAGCCGACTCTGAAGCGTCGGTCACTATTGCGAGATCAGCTGTAGGATTGGGATGAGCAAGGAGTGCGGCTTGAGAGAGTGAAGACTTGCAGTACTTGAAAGCCTCTTGCAGCTCGGGTGTCCACTCGACAGGGTGTGCGCCTTTGACCTTCGGACCAGCGAGTAAGGCGTTCAACGGTGCTTGAAAACGAGCTGCATTGGGAATGAAGCGACGGTAAAAATTCAACATTCCTAGAAAGCGTCGAAGTTCCTTCACAGTCTTAGGTAGAGATGTGCCGCTGAGAAAGTTCTCGTTCCCGGCAATATTCCCAGTGAGAATATTCTCGAGAACCGAGAACGCTCCCGGGAATATTCTCAGTGTTCTCGACAGAATACATTAAGGGCTGATTTTTGAATCGTCAGATAACTTTTAACTGAAGAATAAGTTTGGCACATTGACAGTTTCAATATGGGAAATATGTCAAAATGACAAGGTTATTCTACAGATAAAAGTTATCTGACGATTGAAAAATCAGCCCTTAGTTTTAATTTTAATTTTGTTGTTTATATGTGTTATTATTTGTAATGTTTCGATGTTTTATTAACTGGGCGTTAAGACTAGTCGTTATAAACATGGCATGAAACGTGTGAGTGAGATATTGCTGTCTTGCTCACTCTTTTCGTGGCGAATGCGTACCGAAGCTTTAAGACTCGGCTATGGTATTTGAACATCAGTGTGCCTCTGAGTTTTAAGGCCCTTGTCACCCTGGCGGATTGCAAGCGGATTCAAAGTGGATTCAAAGTGGATTTAAAGCGGAGTGGCGACGCGACGAAGAAGCCGCGTGAAAATATCGTACAGCTACCCAAAGGCTGCCCAGCCGAGCTGGATTCGATGATTGACCTTTTTTTCGAAGTTGGACCTACCTAACTAGACTGTTTGTCCCAGGTATATATTATTGTCAACAACCTCGAGTGTAGAATCTCCAACTTTTAGAGGAGTGGATGCAACACGGTCTTTAGACATGATTTTTAAACCTTGTCCATGTTCATTTTGAGACTCACTTGTTGAGACACTCTATTGAGGCCATCGAGCATTGTGCCTAGATCTTCCACGATCTCAGCCATGACTACGATATCGTCTGCTGTCTGGGTGATGTACTCGCCGTTGATATTTATGCTGAATCCGCTCCAGCCCAGAAGCTTGAAAACATCTTCCAGGGCGGTGGTGATGACGTCTCCTTGTCTCACCCCTCGCTGCAACTGGATAGGTTTCGGGTCCTGATCTTAAAACGTACTGTCACCGTGGCGTGTTTGTACAAGCCTTTCAACACTTTAATTAATGTACCTATCAATAGTCAATTTGGCACAGTTGAAGAGACTGAAGCACAGCCCATGTTTCAAACGAATCGAAGGCTTTCTCATAGTTCACAAACGCAAAGTGGCTGATTATACTCCTTGATCTTCCGTATAATCTGCCGTTGCGTATATTATTATTGTATATGGTACTAAAGCCTTTTCGGAAACCGGCTTGTTCGGGGGGCTGAAAGTCGTCGAGCCTGCTAGCGTGACAATTCGTAATGACTATCGAAAACAGTTTGTAGACATGGCTCAGAAGCGAAATGGGTCTATAATTCTTCAACAAGGTTTTGTCACCTTTTTTGAAGAGGAGTATTACCATTCTTATAAGTGTCGGATCAATCTTGCTAGCACATATTTTCTATAAAAATGTGTCAAATGATCAGAAGTGGCGAAACAGGCCCTTACTAAGCGATTGTGAAATATGCCCTTAATGTCAAATAAGAATAGTTTAAAAAACTAAAAACACGCTTTTAATTACTAACAGCACTAAAAAGCCAAAAATCATCAGGACCCTGGACATCATCTAGCATTAAAGTGCTCGAAAAGACCAATCCAACGAACCCAAACTCGATGAGTTTCCGCTGTTTCGCTTAGGAGTTCCTATGGCTACCCCCTGACTCCATCATTAGGACCCTGGACATTATCTAGCACTTAAAGATCTCGAAAAGACATCCAATGAACCTAAACTCGATGTGATTCCGCCGTTTCGTTTAGGAGTTCTTTTGACCACCTTCCAGTCCCATCATCAGACCAGCTAGTACCACAATATTGTATTGTAATTTCTAATCTACATATAATTGCCAAGTTTCATGATGATACAAGACTTAGAAGTGCGTGTAATTCAGATTCTAAGATTCCATTACATAGTTAGTTATATACACAATGACCTAATAACAGCGTGTTAAAAACGAAAAAATGAACAGTTACATTATTTAATTACGTGTAAAAAAAAAATCTGTCATCTTACATATCATTAAAACGACATTTCACGACGAAAAAAATAATATATAATAAAGGTTGGCTTGGCAGTTGCCAAGAATATTGCCGAGAAAGTTCCCGAGAATATTCTCGGGAACACTGAGAATATAGCCTTTCACTGCAAATACAGTGTATTGTTTAATATACACTTATCTGTTGACTTAATTTAATACTATTTTACTTTACAAAGTTTGTTTATTTCCATTTGATAAACATGATTCTCAACCTTTCTCACTTAGGAGAACGCTCCCGGGAACGCTCCCGAGAATATTCTCAGCTGAGAGAGCGTTCTCGGGAACGGCACATCAATAGTCTTAGGTGGTGAGAAATCTTGAATTGCTTGCACCTTAGTTTCAAGCGGTTTAGTGCCAGCAGCAGACACAGTGTAGCCTAGGAATGTAACCTTGTCCTGTCCAAAAGTACACTTTTTGGTGTTCACCAAAACTCCATAACGCTTCAGACGCTCAAAAAGCTGACGCAGGTGGATTTTGTGCAGCTCTGCTGATGAGGAGAACACCAAAATGTCATCAAGGTACCCATAGCAGAAATCTAGACCTAGAAGGACTTCATCCATAAATCGCTGAAAAGTCTGTGCAGCGTTTCTCAAACCAAAAGTCATAAACGGGAATTCGTACAGGCCGAAAGGTGTTGTGATTGCGGTTTTTGGAATATCGTCAGGATTTACAGGAAGTTGATTGTACGCTTTGACCAGGTCGATCGTAGAAAAGATGGTACAACCCGCAAGCTGGTACGAAAAATCGTGAATGTGGCGAATTGGATATCGGTCCGGAATTGTTCTGGAATTAAGCGCTCTGTAGTCTCCACACGGTCTCCAACCATCGTCCTTCTTCTTCACCAGATGTAGAGCTGATTGTGGCGTACATAGAACGCCACAAATTCAACACTTAGAAAGTGACAAAAACTTTAAAATAGGTAGTTGAAACAAACCACAGCTAATTTTCATAGTGGACTGTACTATACGATAAACATGTCAGTCAATTTGACAACCTTTGTTGGAAACATTATTCAATGAAAATATTGTCCGAACCCATGGTATTTCTCTTCGACAAATACTTTAACACATTGTGAACCACTTTTCTTTCACGACTATAAAAAGATTTTAGCAATTTCATTCACAAAATCAATTGCGCACATTTAAAATAAAGTTTGTTTACACTTTGACAGCAATAGACTGACATGCAAGGTGACATGTCAATGAAGTTTTCAGTTACTGTTGCCATTAAAAGAAATTAGTACCATTAGTTTTCCGCAACATGGCGAGGGTTTTTATGTTCCTGGTCAGGCTATAATAATATTATGTTGCATAATAATGATACTATAAAGTTTCATCAAAATCCGTCCATCCAAAAACTTTCGCATTAAATTTTATTTTAATTCCAGGAAAGATGTCCATGAAGCAATAGAGTCCTACCTTTGTCACATCTGTTCCAAACGTTTTGTGAGAAAAAAAAGCCTTGTAATGCATTTGCAGTAAGTTTTTTTTTTATAAATAATATTAATAATTTGTAATATCGCACAGTACTAAGCTAAATTATGCTTGAGATACTCCCTCTGTCAATAAAGCCTTGATCACACGTACCGAGCAAACGGGCGAGACAGTGCTCTCGACCGAGTACGCGGTGTGTATGAAGTATGAACATTACGCCGAGTGCTCTGCCGAGCGCTCGAGTATGTGACTCGCTCACCCGACTGTCTCGACAGAGTAAACATTTTACTGTCTCGCCGGTTTACTCGGTAGGTACGTGTGATCAAGGCTTTAGTTTGGTGGGACAGTACAGTTTGAGTCATCTATACAAATTTTTTGACACGCTGCATCTATCCATATCTGTGGTGCAGTCCAGCCTTACTAAAGAAAACTCTCATTGCAGAATCCACTCAAATAAAAAGCCATACAAGTGTGAACAGTGTGCTAAGGCGTTTACTCTCCAAAGAAATCTAAAGGAACACATGACTACACACGTAGAACTGGAAGAATTTCACTGCACAGTCTGCAAAAGGGGTTTTAAGAGCCCAAGGTGGTTAAAACACACTTTATTTTATTGGTTTGCACAACTAATGTGTATCATGGCCCCGATTGCGCTAATTTGTAATGTCTCCAATTCATTAATTAGCGTTTCATCTTCAGTCGCGCCCCATATGGCGAGGCCTATCGATAGTTATTGTTTTTTGGACATACTGTATAACCTATTTATTGAGAAAATGAATATATCCATTCTTTTAATTCCACAGATACCTCTCGAGGCACATGGAAACTCATTTTGGCGAGAAGAAATACGCGTGCGGATTCTGTGGTCGCAAGTTTCTGCGCTCTGACGCTAGGAAAGCGCACGAGCGTACGAAGCATTTACGGTTTAGCATATTATCCAAGGACCAGAAAGAAGGAAAAGAATAAATGCCATGCCATAATTATTTGTTTTTTCTTTTCCTAGAAATGAAATATAAAGATAAATGTATGGTATGCATGCACTATCCAAATCTTTTCGTTCTTATTTTTTCTTATAGTAGGGGGGGAGGGGTAAAAACTAGCGAAAATAGTCTTTAATAAACGAATGGCCCTAAATAAGTACTAAAAAATATCAAGCATCAGGACCAATGAAATTTCATCAAGTACAATTTACAAGAATGAACTATTTTTTGTTTTGTGAATTCAATGAACACTAATTATTATGTACATTTTAGAGATTAAATAGAAAAAAACGTGTTTTTAACGTAGTAAAACAACATATTATCATAAACGAAAATATGTATTGATCATCAATCATCATTATCGTCATCTAATCAACTTGGATTATAAAATTGGCATCTTGTTAAGTTGATTATTTTATGAAGCTAAGATTTTATTAACAAAAGGATTTTCATAAAAAAGGTTTGTAACCCATGGATTATTGGCCAGGGAGACCAGTAATAGAAAAATAATTTGCCAATTTTTTTTGTAACTTCAAAAGTATGATAATTAAAATTCAAATAACCATTTTGAAATGATTGGTACATTTTTAAGCCTTAGTTTTTCAAGTTAAACCTTAAATTCAAGAAAGGATTATTTTTTAATTTATGAAAATGCTCTCCATTCTTAGTGGGAATGTTTCAGTGTTGACAACACTTCTGAAATGTCAAAATTCCGTCGAATTAAAAATCAGAGTTTAGTTGCGCCATGGACCTATAAAAAAAGTCCATGAGTTGCGCTATCAGGGACGTTGCTATGTGAATAGGGTTGCCAGGTCCAAAATCACAAAAGCCGGACTTTGTGCTTGATTTGGCCGGACATTTAACCCTAAAAGCCGGACATGTGACGGGGGGGGGGGGGGGGNGTGCAATTAGTGTCAGCTAATGAGTGAGTACTATCATCATCGGTAGCTAACCAACATCCTGATGCGTGCGCTTCACATGAGTCTGTTCGACTTTCGCCTGGCGCGGCAACCGAATAAAAAGCCTAACAAAAGCCGGACAGGCCGGACAAGGCAATATTTGGCCGGACAAGTCCCTAAAAAGCCAAACATGTCCGGCTAAAGCCGGACGCCTGGCAACCCTATATGTGAACGGTGTGAACGACAGTGGTGCCCTCATTTAATTTCTACTCTTTTGTGTCGCACTGTATTGGCGCGCTCACTTAGAAACCGCGCTCGGTACTAATTTGTACCTATTTACTCTGGTTTTATTGAGCTTCGGTCTTCTATCATTAAGCTTTTGAAAAATCTGATAGGCAGCATAGTCCTTTTATTTTCAGCTGGTTCTCTCTTGAAGAAGCGAATTAAAAACTTCAAAACGTCATTCATGTCAAATGTCAATGTCAAATTCACAAATTGTAACTGACATTTCGCCACATAAACATGAAAAAATTAGCGTTTTCTTTGTTTTAAACAAATTATACGGTAAATTTTAAAATTAAGAATATCCCCAGAAAATACAGGATATGACTCGAATGTTATTTATTTCGTAAAAACTATGGATTTTGTGGATTTCGCATGAAGTAACCTTGGTCGCAAGATTTTTACTAGCTATTGTTTTAAATGTACTAGTTCTAATGATGAATTACTAATTTTACAATGGATATTATACTACCTGTGTGTCGAGTGTGCCTCTCGACTGAGGCTAGCAAAGATATTTTTGACTTAAAATCGCAACGAAGTGATAAGACCTGCTCTGAAATTGTATTGTTTTGTCTTGGTATTCAGGTACATACTTGTTTAAAATGTTTTGCCAAAGTTTTCTAATAGTATATAAATAATAAATAAATATATTTGTTATTTTTGCTTTCAGGTGGACAATGATACAAAAGTCAGTACTAAGTTGTGTTTGAAATGCTTTAGGAAAATAGTCTCTTTCTACAATTTTAAGTTACTGGCTCACAAAAATGACGAGTATTTAAAGAATTTGGACCCTAACACTCATATAAAAAAAGAAACGTTGGATGAAGGCTTAAAAGATGAAAGTGTATCTTGTGACAGTGATGTGAATGAAATTGTTGATGCCGAAATTAAGTTAGAACCTGACCCCGTGAAGGACGAAGATGTCCCAGAGGAGTGTCAGTCAGACGACGAGCTTCTGAGCGTGATCAAGAAAATTAAATATGAATACATTCCAGCAGACAATGGAACCGAAACCAAAGAAAATGGTTTGTATTTTTTAGAATATTATCCACACTACATTTTTAATAATTGGTATTAAAGTGGCAATAGAGGTAATGTATGTAACAAACAAATTCCACCAATAAATACTACCACATTTCCTTTTTGGTCCAAATGCTGGCTGAGAATGTCATAATTATGCAACTATATTTAATTTTTTTACCTTAATAAATAAATAATAAAAGTGTAATTTTATTAACTGAAAATACATAATGTAAAGTATTCTAATTATTATTTCAGAAAACCTCAAAACCAAGAAAGGGAAAAAAGGCAAAGAAAAATCCAAAACTCATATCTGTGATGAATGCGGCAAAAGTGTGAAGGACCTAAAGGCGCACATGCAACAACACGAGCCCAAAGAGAACCGGAAGAGGGTGCCGTGCACCTTGTGCGATAAAACCTTCTCAACACACAATGCGAGATACAAACACAAGAGAAACAAACATCTTGGAATTAAAATATCTTGTCCTATTTGTAATAAAGGTATGTAGCTGCTAATGTTTCAATAAAAAAATAGACTTCCAAAAACCTAGAAGAGTCCTTACTTGACTGCATTGTTTCAGCAACTAGCCTTCTCATTATTTTCTTTATAGATCATGTATTGTACAGATGGGTTCATTTTATGACTGTGACAGAAGGTTGTCAGGTTACGTCAACACTGGGCATTGTCCCATATCACTCCTGAAGCAGTGGTAAGGTTTGTCGGGAAGACGGGATTGTCCATATCATAGTTCAACCCCTAAGGTGATAAAACGGGGTCCACGTGTACAAGTCGCGGGCGCCCGCTAGTATAAGGCGGGTTTTAGAATCGCGGTGACTGCTCGCTGATCGTCTGCGCTGAAAGATCAATATGTATGTAATTGAAGGGAACGTTCCTGAGTGACGCTGATCGCTCGGCGCCGACGCTTCATACATTTCGGCTGTCAGCGCTGACGGTCAGCGTGCGTCAGCTTGACTCTAAAACCAGCCTAATACAGGGTGGAATTTTGTAGGAGGGAAAGTTATCTTAATACTGTAAATAGAAAATTTTACTGAAAGAAAACATTCCTTTATTTTTGAAAAGAAAGAGAACTGCATTCAAAGATTTTCGAAAATTTTTCGAAAATTCTCTACCATACCATACAATTTCCTGTTCATAATTGAAATAATTTATGATTTCATAGTTTTCCTTTCATTTGATTTATCAAGTTATTAGAGAGATTTCATCCTTATTTATACGATCGATGCAATAGAAATGAGTATTTCTCAAAAAAAATGTACGTAACGAAACGGTAGTAACGAAATAGTAAGGCCATAAGGCTTGTTATACATTGGCGAAATATTGTGAATGCTCTTCATTTATTCAATTCGAAATATATTTGTAAGTATGCACCCAAATACGGGGTAATATTAAGGGGTTAGAAATAAAATAAGGGAGTAATCATTCATACTATTTTAATAAAATTATTTTTGTTCCATCATGTTTATCCATTTTGAGTCGTTGTCTGTAAGCTTTTTGCCTTTCGGCATTGGTTTTTGGCGGCATTCCTAAAAAAACAAAAGAAGTAATCACATAAAAACGTAATCTAAATGATTTGATTATTTTTTGCTTGTGGCACTTCTGTAAAGCAGATAGTATCCAATCCTTTTGTTATTGACGCTTTATATTTTTTGAAATAAATTAAGTAGTGAATATTACTGTGCTTAGTCAGGTAATACGTGGGACACTATTTAAGTTGTGAGCCTAACTATGAAAACAAAGTAGTTTATTATTAAAATGGTATTGATTGCGTTTATTGGTATTGTCTTTCATGATTTATGTACTTTTTAATGTGTCCGAAACACTTTTCATAGATTTTTTTCCACTCAGCTTGAGGCACCTCCAAAGCATGGTTTTTGACCGCACCGACAGTTGCTTCTGGCTACATAAATCGCTGTTCACGCATTTAATTTTAATATATTAGTACCAAAAGAAGTGTTTAGATTCCAAGCAAGAATTTTGTAGCGTTGGACCTGTTTATTTCATATTTTGAGTGTTCAAATAGTCAGTTGTTTGACGAGACGTGTAAAAGCTCACATTTTCGTCACGAATGGCGATTCGACTATGCTGGTCAGTTTCCCTTATTAAACTGAAGACTATTGGAAAAAATGTGGCTGTTTACTATTAAAAATTAACCATTCTAAATTTATCTAGTGACGTTTCTGTCATATAATCGGATATTACGGAAAAATAGGCGACCGTAAGTTTCAAAGTGTTCCGAGCGCATGCATGGGACTTTTGNAGGAAGGGACAGTTGGAGACCATAAGCTGTCACACTTTCACAGAAAGTAAGCACACTATACCATAAGATTATTTGTCTCAATATTTTCTACTAATGTAGATATTGTTTCCGAAAGCGAGCGGGTTCATTCCGTACCTGTACGCTTCATGCGTTCTCTAGCAAAAGCTGAAAATCAGTGTTCTGCCCTTTTGAGGGTAGTAAGTACTGAGCTCTTTGCTTTTTGCATCGCTGCGGCACACATCACTCTGACGGAGGGAACTATTTGAAACGCTAGTCATCTTTATCTTATGTTGTTTTGTCACTTTTGTTATGTTGCAACTGTTGAAATTATTACTAACCTGTGTAACAAAATACCAGTGGTGTCACCTAGTGTGTTTCTTGACTAACTTCACCCCATAGAAAATCAATTTGATACAGAAACTGCGATTACTGTAGAACGATAATACAAAGAAATTTACAATAATTTAGTTACGTATCGCATTTTATGAAACAAAAACACATGAAAAAGCTAGGATGGCAAACAGGTTTTTGTATGAAAGGTAAAAAAGGACTATTTTTAAAATATCTAAATATTTGGTAATAAGTAGGATTATAGCTATAATTCTTCGTTATCTTAAAGATTAATATTCATCCTTCAAAATTGTGTGTGTGTTTTTTTTGTGTGATGATTTATAAATATAAAACTTTTGAACTGTTTCAAAGCACACTTTTTTTTTTCAAAATGTACATTTTTTTTGAGAAATACTCAAATACAGGGTGTAATTTTTAACAGATTTTAGTTGGATCGAATCCCGTGTGTGGCAAGCCAATTTTTCGAAATCTTTGAATGCAGTTCTATTTCTTTTCAAAAATAAAGGAATGTTCTCTTTGAGAAAAAACTTCTATCTACAATATTAAGAGTACTTTCCCTCCAAGATTCCACCCGGTATATTCAATAGTCTTTCTGTTCTCTTTCAGCGGTGATCAACATCAAGCAGCACACACTGCAAATGCACAAGGTGTCGGAGCTGCGTTACGAGTGCGTTCCGTGCGGGCGGCGCTTCATCTCGCCGTCGGCGCGCGACGCGCACCAGACCGTGCACACCAAGGACCGGCCGCACGCCTGCGACCAGTGCGACAAGCGCTTCCGGAGCAAGCTCAGCTTGGTGCAGCACAAGTGAGTACTCCTTAGTCTCCATTTCGTAATCCACCTTACCACAAAAAGTTAAACACGTTGAACACTATAGGGATGTTTCCTGGGTAAAAAAGAAAGAGTTGTAATTAGTCCATCAGTTAGCTTATCAAAAACTACTCGACACGTATTTTTCACTTTTTAAAACTAATGAAAATTTAAAGAGATAAAGCGTGCCAAAGTTCTAAAGAAAAGGCCCGTGATGTCAGTGAGTGCGTAAAAGTGCAGCACTTTGTGACGTCGCGCGGAACTTCAACGCACTATAACTTTGTAATTATTTGTTTGATTGACAATTAAAAATATACGTGTCCAATATTTTTTTATACTAAAATTGACGGACTAAAAAATTTTTTAGGAAACTAGCCTATTATGTACCAGAGTACATTCTCTAATTTATGTATGTAAAGTAAGTTTTAAAATATCTCTGTTTCAGGCGACAAGTCCACGATAAAGAGAAGACTCACTTGTGCCAGTTTTGTTCTAAAAGCTTTTTCAAGAAATATCATCTTCAAGTTCATTTACGGTGAGAGGTTATAAAAATAATAACATGAAATAAAAATAACAAAAGATTCATAAAGTGTTAGTAAAAGCTTATGCTGATGTTAGATCTTATTTCTAAATCGGACTTCGTCCTACTGAGCATGTGGCCGATCAGTGGACAATCCCCACTATCAAATATTTCAGTAGGTACGCTGTGGCAGCTGCCCCGTACTCTGTGCAGTAATGATGCACTCTTTTTGCGCATGATAGCTTCAAAGCTATAGTTCCAAAATACTGGACTGTCCTATCGATGACATTGACAGTGGGGCGCCACTGTCAATACCGGATCGCTGGTTCCGATTTTTGCCATGTTGGAAACCATATAGTTGAACGATGGTAGCGCCCCCCTGTCATTGAGTTTGGTGGGACAGTTCAGCGTGGGTCATCTATATCTACGCCCGCCAAAGCAAACATCGCAGACGCACTAAAGCCCGGTCTCTGAGCATGTAGAATTATGTGCTATGACCCCAAGCTACCCATCCTTATCGTTCGCGCGTAATTATGTTGCTGTTGCGCTCGCACACTCACTGCGGGCGCCCGTCGCACAGTCGCGACAACAATATAATTACGCGCGAGCGATAAGGATAGGTAGCTTGGGGTCATTGGGCAAAATTCTACGTGCTCGGCGACCAGACTATACAACTACTTTGTTAATGTTGCCCTAACTAACGACTTTCGCCGCAGCTCGCACACGAAGGAGAAGCCGTACGAGTGCAAGCAGTGCGGCAAGTCGTTCTCGTCGTCCACCATCCTCAAGAACCACTCCTACACGCACGCGGCCGAGAAGACCTTCCGCTGCACGCTCTGCGACATGAGCTTCGTGCGCTCGGGGTGAGTTGTCTATAGTTTGGTCGCCGAGCACTTAGAATTTTGTCCAAAGACCCCAAGCTACCCATCCTTATCGCTCGCGCGTAATTATGTTGCTGTTGCGCTCGCACACTCACTGCGGGAGCCCGTCGCACAGTCGCGACAGCAATATAATTACGCGCGAGCGAGAAGGATGGATAGCTTGGGGTCATTGGACAAAATTCTACGTGCTTAGAGACCGGGCTTTATGGGGAATCATTATCAGGTCATTTAGGCTGAGGCCAAACGAGCGTAATTATTTACGACGCGTTTTTTGAGTCTACACAAATGCTCTGTATGAACTTCACAACGACCCAAAATGTGTTGGAACTTGAACGTTTATTGTGCTACGGAAATTACGCTCGTTTGGCGTCAGCCATTCTCCACTGCAGGCATATCATACTCTCCAAATGGACGATTTGAATATACTCCCCACTCTGGTTAGACGAGTTGAGAGGCTTCGTCTCTTATAACATCCAAGGGAAGAGAGAGTGGGCACGATATTCTTACTATGCTGGTAATGCTGGGGCTAAGCTAGCTAGCTACTTGTTTACCAATTTGATATTTAATGCCGCATTATTATTATTTGCATATTCTGATTAACCCCTCTTGATGAGTTAAATATGCTTAAGTTACGAGTGGGTTCACTACAATAGTCCAGCAGCGTTTCTTACTTCGAGGTCGACACCATTGAGCTATTGCCGTTTCCGACCGGCTTATAGAAATTTAAGTACACATTAAAGTAAACGTTTTAAACATAATTTATTATAATTATCTAAGATAAAAGAGTAACAATCGGCCAAATAACTCGACAATAACCTTGCAGATACCTCCGCGCACACATGCTCAGCCACACTCGAGAGAAGCGGTATCCCTGCAACTACTGCGGCATGAAGTTCCACCGCTCCGACCACCGCAAGCGCCACGAGTTCACGGCGCACGAGAAACACTTGGCCTCCACGTGATATACGACTCTAAACCCACGAACGCAGGGCACAAAGTCGCGTGGGATAAACAGCCAGGTTCACTCTAGCAAAACACGGTGTCCACGTTAAATACGACTTTAAACAGACTCGCGCAAGGTACAAAGTCGCATGGCATAAACAAGTGCCAGGTTTACTGGAGCACAAAGCACGGCCTCCACGCGATATCGAACTCTAAACAGACGAGCGCAGGGTACAAAGTCGCGTGCGATAAGCTAGAACCAAACCTGGTTCCTCGAGCCCAAAACACACAGTCCATGTAATATCAAACTCTAAAATGACAAGCGCAAGGCATTTTTTTGCGTGCAGTAAAAAATATAACATGAAATACACGCATTCGTGAACGTCAGAATGGCGGGTGTATGGTCACAGAAATGAATAATATAAATATGAATTTTTAATACCTGAGGTGTACCTTTATGTACCTTTAGTTATTAATTTTGTACTTCCCTAATACGGGAACAATTTAAATTACAAAATGAGCCGCCAACCTGATATCAGGTTGGCGGGTGTATGCTGAAATTGGACGAAACAGGTAAGTTATGGTTTTCTTATATTTACCATTATTTAGTACCTCAAATGTACCTCACAAATATATTATGATAAACCAAATGCGACGAATAATTAACGAGAAAATTGATACGAAAAATTTGATGTCCACCATTTTTTTGATGGCCACCATTTCTTTTAAAAAAATATCTGTATGGTATGTATTATCTGTGTCAGTGTCAACTTTCTAACTTGTTAAAAGAAATGGTGGCCATCAAAAAAATGGTGGACATCAAATTTTTCGTATCAATTTTCTCGTTAATTATTCGTCGCATTTGGTTTATCATAATATATTTGTGAGGTACATTTGAGGTACTAAATAATGGTAAATATAAGAAAACCATAACTTACCTGTTTCGTCCAATTTCAGCATACACCCGCCAACCTGATATCAGGTTGGCGGCTCATTTTGTAATTTAAATTGTTCCCGTATTAGGGAAGTACAAAATTATTAACTAAAGGTACATAAAGGTACACCTCAGGTATTAAAAATTAATATTTATATTATTCATTTCTGTGACCATACACCCGCCATTCTGACGTTCACCACGCATTCGTGTCTTTAGATAGGTACCTATAATTTAATAATTTATCGTATATTTTGTTGTGCTATATTAGCAAACAATACCCTGGTTATTTATTTTAAAAATTGACGAATCCTATAGATTTATATGGAATCAGGGTTTTGAAATTAATGTACTATGACCGGGCACACAATGAATGTTATCAATTTGCTTTCTAAAAATGGAATGGGGTAAATCTTTGTCAAATTATTTTTAATTTGTTATATTTTTAGCTATTGTACAAATATTAGTTATTTATTTAGAAAAATGGTTATTTAAATAAATTCTATATTATGTTGATTACAAATTTTATTTCGCTACTGAACACACACTATAGAAAAACATAAATTACGGAGAAAAAATATATCAAATTACGGGCACTCCAGTGGCTTTTCGGCCACATTTGAGTCTTCGTCTTCTTCCAAAATGCTCATCTGTGAACACTCGCCCGCTTCCTCTGCGAGTCTGGGCGAGCTATCGGGCGAGTGGATATTCAAAGTATTCATGATGCTCTCAAACTTGTCTCCCAAGTAAGGGTACTCCTTTTGTAAGGTCTCGACTATGAACTTCAGGCGGTCGTTGAGGGCCCGGGCCTGGTTGTATTCGGTAAGTACGGCGGATTTAGGCTTCTTCACCTTGACCGACTGGCGTTTGATGGCGGTGGCCAGCTCGTTGCCCAGACGTTGGCTTCGCACGACGCGCTCTAGCAACTGAAATGTGAGAGGGCTTTATCGTTTCGTCGCCTATTGCTCAGTTTTAGGGGAATGGCATCCAAATATCGAAAGAGAATTCGCGTTACATGATAGTTTCACTTGGCAAAAACAGCGAGATTGATCATTCTTAATGATGGTTAATTAGTTCCATTTTGCTTTTTAGTGTATATCTTAATTCTATGAAAAATACTATAATTCATCATTAAAGAATTACACCATGTAGTGGAGAAAGTGCATAAAACAATTAATTTGCATCTCCAGGAAAATAAATTGTTGGTATAGATCATTTCATCCACGAAGACGCGCCCCACCAATTTTTGCCCGAGCAATCCGAGCGTCATTATTGTAGTGTGCGTGTGCACTCATGTATAATTTAGCGTGTAGGGAATTAGGGATAACACTCTAACATTAGTGGAACAATGGTGAGGGCGCGTCTTCGTGGATGAAACGATCTATAATGAGGGCTATCGTCTTAGCGCTCACCAGTTAGCGCCACTGTAGAGTAAGGTCCTGTCACTTGCTAGTAGCGAAGACAGTGGCACCAACTGGTGAGCGCTAAAAAGGTAGGAGAACTAACGCATTTGCACTTATCAAGATGGCGCCACTGTGGTCTATTCCACTTTGATCACCTGGCTTTGATGACCCAGGTGATCAAAGTCCACTTCCAGCGACAATTTAGTGTCCTTTGATCACTCACGGATATGATGCCCTGGGTGACCAAAGTGGACTCCAGTTAAATTATTATTTTAGTGTCCTTTGATCACCTACATACAAATCACACTTCCTCTTATACTTAATGTACGGACAAACATTGTTTAGGTAAGTAACGCTTTAAAATATTTCATGCTGTAAAAAAAATGTCTATATTAAGAAAATGTTTGTACTTATAACAATTGGACATGACGTGTCTATTCAGAGGTGTGCTTTGTATGTAGGTGATCAAAGGACACTAAAATAATAATTTAACTGGAGTCCACTTTGATCACCCAGGGCATCATATTCTTGGGTGATCAAAGGACATTAAATTGTCACTGGAAGTGGACTTTGATCACCTGGGTCATCAAAGCCAGGTGATCAAAGTGGAATAGACCGCCACTGTAGAGTAGGGTCCTGTCAATCGCCAAGGGTGCCATCTGTTAAGTATAAAAACGATAGCCCTCATTGAGTTGAAATCTTCCACTGTGTATGTTGTTTTGTTACCCATTGTTTCTGGCGCTCGGCGTCCCGGCACTCGTGCAGCAGGCCTGCAATATTCTCCTCGAGCTGCGCGTTGGTGGTCGCAGTGGTAAATGGCTTTCTAGTATCACAGCTACCGGTATTGCTCTATCGCACGTATGACCAGGCCTGTTCATCTCCGCGAGTTTACATCGAAAACAAAACACGCACGATGGCCCACCTACAGGATACTATTCGACAAGGCCTCACATACGAGCGAACATTGACTCACGCACCGCGTATTCTTGTGTATGATGGAAGAAAATAAATACTGTGCGGTGTTTAACTGCCTAAATAATAATAAAAACACAGAATGTAGTTTTTTAAGTTGCCTCAAGACACTGAGAGGTAAATAAGTAGTTAATATTATTCATGATAATTCATGCTAAATCATGTATTTCCTCCGCCATTTTCCGCAGTTTGGCACCTCACGTCACATCATTTTACCGAAGTCAGCCCTATAGCTTCGGCGCAGTGCCGATCACTGACGTTTGTCAACAAAATGGTGCTTGACTCTTGAGACAGGCTAAATTACACCATATTGTTAATAACATTGAGCATACATTTTTTTAAATACCTTCGCGAAGTAAAACTTCTGTACGTAGTACTTATTATTATTCTGTGGTATGACCTTACCCATTGTTTCTGGCGCTCGGCGTCCCGGCACTCGTGCAGCAGGCTGGCGATATTTTCTTCGAGCTGCGCGTTGGTGGCCGCGGTGTCCGTCACCTCGCGCTCCAGCCGCGCCTGCTCTTGCTGCAGATGCTCCATGTGGGTTTTGGCTTCGGCCAAGTCCTGGAAGCAGTGTACCCCTATACACCACTACATTTTTATCACCGAAAAAAAAAAATCTGGGTAATAAGTAATTATTTATACTGATCCTATTTATGCAAAAAAAAGATAAAGTTACTCAAAATTTCATCCCAAAATTGGTAATTTATGGACACACGCGTCGCTAGCACTTAAAACACTGGAAGGCCGAGGCGGGAGCGAGACAGACAGATCGGGGCAATGTGCGAGCGCGTACGACTACTCTACTAGCGAGCAGCGGAGTGCCCCAGCTGTGACACGTAAAATGCGGACTAAAGAAAACTTAATAAAAAAACAACTTTATGAAAAAAAATGTAGTGGTGTATACTGTGGCTCATTTTGGTAAATGAAATGGAGTGGATGGTCATTCAAGCATGACATTTTTAGTGTCAGTAATATTAACCTAATATTGCTAGTGAGCTCAGGGTCGGACTGGGCCGGAGGGGCCCGGGTGGCTGATCGCAATGCCGAGGCCCGAGACTAGATCATGGTGATGGGATACTATCGAAAAATACTGAGATACACAAATTGAGATGAACAATCTATAAAAAAATTATTACAATAGGTACTAAAATATAGTAAAATAATAAGTAGGTATTTACTAATAAAGCCTGGTCCGTGAGCACGTAGAATTTTGTCCAATGACCCCAAGCTACCCATCCTTATCGCTCGAGCATAATTATATTGCTGTCGCGACTGTGCGACGGACGCCCGCAGTGAGTGTGCGAGTGCGACAGCAACATAATTACGCGCAAGCGATAAGGATGGGTAGCTTGGGGTCATTGGACAAAATTATATGTGCTCACGGACCAGGCTTTAACAAATAATAATATAAAGCTAGCCAATCAACATTTTTTTTAAAAGAGGAGAACTTTCAGCTAAGCAGTTAAGAGCGTTTACGTCTAGCGTGGCATGTCAAGTTTAGGTAATTTCGATGCTAGTTTTATTCACACTAAAATAATTATGACTGTGTGCGTGTTCTCACGTTCTATAGTCAAACCAAAATACTTTGATCCACCATCGTAAAAGTGTGCCAGGCTGACAAGTGACAGCTCAAGGAAACTATAAAATCTTCAAATCTTCCAACACCGACTCCATAATTATAAATAATGGTATACATTTGTCCTAATCAATAACTTTTACTATTTTGAGAATATTTTATACAGCCTATGTTCAGCAGAAAAAAATTTGAATTTTAATGNGCCAAACGGCGTAAACGCTCTTAATGACTCGATCGTAAAAGCTGCTGTTTTCGTCATCCTTGATTAGATCCGATTCTGTATTTAATATAATTAATGAATCTAACAGTTCTTGCCCCAGTAGAGAACGAAGTCTCGTTTTAATGCGCTTTAATGCTGAAAATCGTCTCTCACAACACTCACAAGTCACTTGCGTGAATGAAATTGTGGTGTACGTGCTGATATGCATGTTATCTATAAGTACTTATAATAAATCTGTAGAGAGGTCAATTCTGTACATAAAATATAT